ACGTGTCAAAAGTTCATCTGTTTACCTGCTAAGAAACATCAAAATGATTACCTCATACAGTAACTGTAAAACTCATTGTAATATAAAATAATAAATTTAACTATGCACACAGCAAGTGAAGTTATTATTCCATGGCATACAATTCAGTTGGCCCAATGAACATACTCATTGCTCCACATTGAAAGGTTAAAACCTATGTAAACACACCGCCTCAATCTTGTGACCACATCTGCACATGGCAGCAAATGCATAGTGATGGCCACAGATAGGGTGGTAATCACTAACGAAACTATGGAATAGTTTCGTTGTTGCGTACTAATAATATCTATAAAGAAATTAATTGAAAACTATGGAACACTGGATTTGATAGCTGTGATCTGCTGTTGATTAAATATTCAGTAGTATGAATCATTTGACAGTGCTTGAAACACTATGGCTATTCCTTACAGGAAGTGAGGTGACATGCACAATTATGAAGTGCTGCTTCATTGTGACTAGGAGTAACTGAAAATTGGTAGGCAGAACAGCCAGGTCTGGTCCTTCATGATGGTGATTGTTATGAATATGTGGTGATGCATAGTAAGGCTAATGTTGTTCCCATGTTTAATTAAGCAGCATTCCACCACACTTAGATTTATGGGAGAGTTTAGATGCAGCTCCACACATTCATAATCTCAATACCAGGCGGAGATGCGTGGTCAGCTTCACACACTCTCTGCCCTACGCTTTGGGAAAGAGCGCTTGTTATCCATTGGATAGGAGGTTGGGATCCACAGCTGATCTTGACACAAAATGGTAAACTTGCTCCCATGCTTAATTAATTAAACACCACACCATTAACACCAATGGGTGAATGAAGGTATAGCTCCACCATTCTTAACTTTGGCACTAGATGGAGGTGAGTGGTCAGCTTTACCTCCAGGGAGAGCGCCCACATTACCCAATGGATAGGAGGCTGGGTGGACCACAGGGCTGGTGTGGATGCTGTGGAGGAGAGAAAAATCTCTAACCCCTGCCACAAATAAAACCACAGCTGTCCAGTTCTTTGCTATACTGACTGAGCTATCCTGGCCAAAAAATATCCCAGCTTCTCATGCTTCTGCAGAGAAAAGAAATATATTTTTAATCTTATTTCCTGTATGCATTATGCATCACATCACCATTGCCAAACATGTTTACACAAGGTCAGAAATGAGAGAAAGTTGTTAATACAGCAAGAATTCTGAAAAAATATTCATATTACAACATGAGAATATTGATCTGCTTAGTGTAATGAAATTTATGCTGCCTAAAAGGAATGCTCACTAAAATGACTTTTCATTCTGTATACCTCCTACATATGCAAAGCTAGATAGATACACATTAAATACAACACACCTGTCTTGAGGCTCAGACACCAAATATACATTTGTTGATATTTACAGCCATGTATTTTCAGAATATGTTAAAATCCTTGGTTAGTTTCAATTCATTTTTGTTATTGTTATCACATTTAAATAGCCAAAATATTTCTGCAGCAGATGAGTCTTTCTTAATTATTTTATGTATAAATGGTAAGAAGCTGAGTTAGCCAATCATCAACCTTCAGAGAGTTGAAACTGTAGTCCATTCTGGAATCTATGCCCACACTTTTTGTGTGAGCTTTAACTAAATTTTCTCATGAGTTCCTGCACATACAAATTCAGCTTCCCTGCCTGATAAACTGACTGTACTAAAGTTTGCTAAAATTAAATGATCGTTTGAATTATATGTCACCCAACTGCAAATTAGTGTACAGGACCACAGATTTTCTGAAGTCACCTCGTTAAATAAGCATTAATAATGTTTAACCACTTGTAACACTGCATCCTATGTATAAATGTAATCTACATACTTCTGTGATCAAGAGAAGGCAGTCCACTAAACCTCAAGCATTAACTTTACACATAGCGTTCCTTGTTCCCAAGAAACCTTTTCTAATTAGATGATTCAATCAACTCACATCGCTTCCCTTGTGGCATACAGTTCATAATCCTTGAAGATAGGTACAAGTGTTACACCGTGTTTTGGGCTAAACTTAACCTAATTGCAGTCATTGTGATTGTCCACAAGGTTACTGGCACCCAACCTCAAGAACAGTAGCCAAGAATAGAAGTGAATTGTAAGGAATGGAACAGCTGTGTACAAAGCAAAATAAATTTTGATAAAGGGACTGTTTGTATAAAGATACTGCTGAAACCTTCCAGAGCAGAAAGTTAGGCACCCATGAAGTGTGACTGTTTATATTTTGCATGCTCAGCTGCACGATGCTTGAGTGTCACTATACTGGACGTTCATCCTAAATAGTGTCACATGATAGAGTGCCTATAGATGGGGTTTGGAATGGTAATTGGATTTATTGAATACAGAATGAGTGACAAAGATTATGGAATCACTTCTGTGTATGTGTTTTGAATTTTTCTTCTTTTAAAATTTTCCTTGTACAGGGTGTTAAATAAGAGGGTTAAATGTTTTGCAGGGGTTTAGTACTCACTTAAATGAGCAAAAAAGTCCCAGTTGACATATTTCTAGAAATCAATGCTTGCTGAGAGAGACCCGAGTTTTGCGTCTGGCCCAGTATTAGGATAACATTACAGTATGCATTAAGGGAAGGAGCAAAGGACCCAGATTCTCTCAGTCACTGGTGAAGTTTGATGAATAATATGTAGGATAGGATTCAGTGTTTTGAATAATGTTTTGTTTAGAGGCAACTGCTTCCCAAGAATTTCCATTGGCACAGCTGTACGTGAAATATATGTCTGCCATTTCTTGAACAGAGTAGTAAAATTCTGTTACAACACCACTAAACAAATTTCAAATTGAATGAATATCACACCTTTTTCCGTAGTAGTACGTAAGTAGTATATCTACCAAGTCTACTGAGACAGTCAAGACGCGTGTACATGTTGTGTACTGGCCTCTTAATGCGTGCTGCTGTGTTATCCTGGTATCCAGTTAGATGCAGAACCTGGACGTATGTTGACTGGGATTTTTGATCATTTAAATGAATACTGTACTCCTTTAAAACCTGTAACCATTTTTTTACAGTCTGTTTGTAGTTCAACTTTCAGAGGTGTGGAAATCTGATGGTGTTAAATCTGCAGTGTGAAAAATGCATTAAAGCTTTCCATTCAAGTTTTCCAGTCTTCTGCATAGAATGCATGATTGAACATCATTCAAAAGCTTATTTTTGAAGATTCAACTTCTTATGAGTAACACATTTAACTGTATCTGTTGTGATAATGTATTGTGGTTCTCTTTGTGCAGTAACTGCTTTTCTCCTGTGCATAATGATTTCAGCATTTCTAAGTGAACTATTGTGTACTTGTACATTGGTTATATGTATGCAGTCTCTTGCATTATTGAACATTATTGTACATGTTACTTCTGTTAATAGAAGTACAGCAGTCTCTCCAAGCCTCTTGGCTCAAGCAGTAATGCTTCTGTGTAGTATTGAGAAGGTACCTGCTATCCTAATAAGGGTTTCTTTATGGTTTTCCCCAGTCCTTCCAAGTAAATGCTAGGATAATGTCTCAGTCATGACTGATTTCAATTTATTCATCAGTCATCCTGTCATATGATGCTGTAATAATAATAATTGTAGGTCAGGTGTAATTGGAAGGTGGAGACAGATTTTGGGCGCAAGTTCCAAATAGCAAGACAAACAATGTCCATGTTAACATGTGTCCAGAAACATTTAATTTCTGGTTTATAACTGAAAGAGTACATTTATAAAAAGTGCTCGAAATGTCCTCCATGAGATTCAGTGCACACCTGGATACATCAGAGACCACTGCATCTGTTCAAAGGTGCATGAAAAATTTAAGTTGACCTCTGTGGATTGTGGAAGAGCGAGAGAGAGCTATCCAGACACCTGAAATGGAGGGGTGTGTTCTTGGCCATGTTGATAGGGATGCAGGTGTCACCATTAGACAACTGGGAGAAGATCTAAATGCATCAAACATGATCATTTGGAAGGTACTGCATGAACAGGTGCTTTATGCTTACCTTGTACAGTTCAGGACCTCAGGCCTGCTGATTTTACAGTGTGAGTTAACTTTTGTCTGAGTTTTGTTCAGCAAATTGCTGCACATTTCTTTGTTTCATCATTGCTCTTTACAGATGAGGCATGTTTTGGTAGAGATGGCATCATCAATATTCACAACCAATGCCAATGGGCATAGGAGAATCCTCATGGTTTAGTCCATCCTAGACACCAGCAGCAGTTCAGCATTAATGTGTGGACAAAAATTGCTGATGGTGGTTTGGTAGGCCCACATGTTTGGCCACATCTGCTTACAGACACCACTACCAAGATTTCCTCTTACTTGATCTGCCAAAGCTACTGGAAGATGTACCATGGGCAGTCAGAGCACAAATGTGGTACAGGCATGGTGGTGCTTTGTCACATTTTAGCCATGCTCTGTGAGATGTTCTCAGTAACACCTTTTGTAACCGATGGGTAGGTAGAGGAGGTAGAGGAGGACCCACTGCATGGCCTCCACAGTTTACAGATTTGAATCCTCTGGATTTTTACCTGTGGGGCACCTAAAATTTTGGGAGTATGCAGCTTCTGTTGACAGTGAAGATGCACTTCACCATCTCGTTTTGGATGCCCATCAAATTATCTGCAACTACCCTAGCATCTTTTTTTAACAGATGCAGCAGTTCGTGATGAAACATATCGAGGCTTGCGTTGACTCTCAAGGACGTTTTGAGCACTTACTATTAATGTACTCTTTCAACTATAGTTCACAAATTAGATGTTTCCAGACACATGCAGATATAGACTTTTTTTTTTTTAATGTGAACTTGGGCGCAAAGTTTGTCTGCACCCTCTAGTTACACTCCATATATGTATTTTAGTCTACTCCCCAAGTATTAATGCCTACTTAATTATTCCTGCGACAGTTATCACTAATTTAAATATTAATAATTGATTAAAATAATGTATATGAAATGAAATAATGTCTTTAATATAGAGTTCATCACGGACCACACTGGAGAGTCTAGTGGACTCACTGCAGCAGGGGCTGTTGGACCCCAGCACTACTACAAGTGGGGGTGGTACTTCTGCACGGCATGTTCCTACTGGTGCCCCTCATACTGCCCATGCAGGTTCTGTTGTCCTTACACAGCATCAGGTAAATAATGCAATCTCCAGATTTAGTGTCGCATTGAATTATTTTAGTCTTACTGTAAACAGTCAGCTAAGTTAAACATTTTGTACTTAATCTATTGAAACTGCTAAGCTCTCTGATAATAACAGGAACACAAGAGTTGGAATTATTTACTTTTGCATAACTTGCTTTAACCCTTCACTGCCTGCAGATGTTTAAATTCCTACTCAACTCCTATGCCAGAGGATATTTAAATATTTAAATCAGAGGGTGCAACATTTCACTTAAAGTGTAATAAATTGGGAAAAAAACTGGAGTTTTGTTTTTCTGATTTTCACACTACATTCAGAAACGTATATAGAATCGGCATATTGATCCACACTGCTTTAAAATTATTTTTTGGCACAGTAAGCCCATAAAAATCATGAATGATAGTATCATATTACCTTAGAAGTTCAGCTGGGTGTGTTAGTTATGAAAACATTCTACACAGAGTCCCACGTCACATGCGTGCCACCAATACACTGTATTTGACACACAACACGCTGTTTCTGTGGTTTTTATTTCTTCACAGTTGGTGGAATCTTGCTTATAAAATTCTTTCTCTTAGACGGTGAACTGTTTTGTCAGACGAATGTTGACCTGGCACTTTTGTTCTACAGCATTAGCATACTTCACAGAGAGTCCCTCAATTAACTGAATTCTGATTGACAATTTATCTATTCTTTTCCTTGAGTTATTCCTACATATTATCATCACATTCAGAAATTTTCTTTTTGTCCCTTGTAGTTTTGCATATTCTCCCAATGGATGTTTGTGCTATTCTTGATTCAGTCATTTACCACAGACCCGAGAAAAGCACAAACATCCATTTTCAGTGTCTAATTCCGAATCTGATAAAACTTTGTTCTGATTCAGTTGCAAGTAAATATATCCCCCACTGGTCATGACACAACACACCTGGCCACTTCACTGCTCGTGGCTCACCTTGGCTAACCAGACTGCATGATGCATATTTATAGAACAAAGGGGATTACAGTGGTATCTTCATATAGTGAACTGTTATGGTTTGCTGCATAGTAGTCATAACACACTTCTTAGAGTCAACATCACGTCTTAACGAGTTGTAGATTCTCCACGTGTTTTCTCATAGTTACAAATACCAATGTTGAAGCAGCACTGATCAGAATATGCCTCAAGAGAATAGACTTTTCATTTGATCAGGATAGAGGACAGTACACAGTATCGATCTAACGTATTTAGTTCATAAAAATTCTCCTAGGCGGAGGTAGATTTGTATGGTAACAAGTGCACCAAGTGTTGAAGTAGAAAACTTTTTCAAAGCATTCAAATGTATTACAAGTCCTGCAGCAAGTTCAAAGTTGGACAATGAATATACAAAATGATAGCCTGAAATTTTATCTTTAATTTCGTACCAAAAGAATTATTTTACATAAAAAACAGTGGTTCAAAATACGAGCTGAAACTTTGAGCTGCACTACACGTGCCCTGCACCGACCCTGGTGGCGTGTGACAGAAACTGCTAGCGTACAGTGTACAGAGCCCGGAACTGAAGGGCTAATGAATATATTCTACCAATAATAATATGTTCGAGAAAGGCATCTGCAATTCTTTCTGGCGTATGAAATGGCAAGAAAATAACATGAGAACACCATGTATTTGCATTCAGTAATCCTAACTGGTTGATAGTAACATAATAGGAATTATAAACCTTGCTTGTACCAAGTAATTTTGCGATCTATGATATGTTGTTTTGTTCTGCTGAATGCATTAACCATATCATTTTGCTGTTGCTCTTCTACTGTCCATTGTATTATCATGGTAATACAGTATGAACAGAAGGATTTTACTGATTTTCTCTGCTGGGCGTATTTATTGCATGTACAGTATAATCTGATGCAATAAAAATTTATATACAATTTATACAAATACTTTTTCTAAAGGTTACTACCTCTAACATGAATATGGCAATATGTAATCTCTTTTGAATTGATTATCATGGAGACATAAAAGTATCAAAGATGAATTCAGTATTTTTAAGATATTGTCACGTGTTGGGTGTATAACGCGACAAATAACTTCACGCCTTGTTGGTTATAGCGAATTTATTCCACTCGCTCTTACAATCACACAATTTACAATCTGACAATTACTGCCATCGGCAGTACCACAAATGCTACACTGCAAATGCCAGAATACAAATGACTGGTTGCTGGCTAACTCGGAACTCTCTCGGAACTGACTGTGAATAGCCTTCACTGCTCCTTATGTAGCCTCGTTCCGGACAACACAGAACACGGCCATGTAATAGGCACCCTTGTTGCCTGATGCTGTGTTGCTAGCAACGCTGTCCAGAGTTGTTTACTGCTGCCTAGCAACCGCGGTTTTTCCCTTGTTGACTTCACAGCTGTTGACCCGCGTTGCCTACCTACCAGGATGCTGGGACTCGGCTAACTTCGGCTCCGCTTGGCACGTCACCGCTGGCGGGGGGAGGGGAGGGAGGATGTTGACCTGCCTATTACCATTGCCCAACACATCACAATATTTTAGCATTATCTGAACTGAGAAGTTAGATGTGTTCATAACCTCTCTTGTACTATCAGCTTACTGCTTTTTAGAAGCTACCCTTTACAATCAAAAGTTACTCTCACTGTTTGCTGTGTGCCACTAAATCCCATGCCAAAGTTCTTCCCATAATTTTCGGTGCCTGCACACATTCAAGAGACTAAGGATGTTAGTTTTATCAAACTTCATAGGTGTAATGAACAAAGAAGCTAAAATCAGGTCATCTGTTATATGTGCACTGCTTTATAACTGGTAGTAAATGCAGTAAATATTCCTGACATTTTTGTGTGTATTGGTTCCTTTATGTGCTCTGAAACAGTAAAATTTGTCTTTGGAAACAGAAATTCTTGATCTTTGTGCCGCAAAATTATTGTCCTTTTCCTTTATCATTGGTCTATCACTCAGATTGTTAGACATCTTTCAACTCCAGTTCAGATTGTGAACCCTTTATTTCCTGCATTCCATAATTGTTTCTGTGTTCTTGGTTTCCATGATGAATTGCATATTTCATACATTCAAGTCCAAACACTTACGTTTCATTGTCATACATTGCTGGTCACTGTTTAACTGGAACAACACAAAGTAAAATCAGAGAAACTGTCAACATTTTACTGAGATGGAGTTAGGATGATATCACATGATGGACAGGTAGGCATCATTGGCTAAAATTTTGAGGTGTCTTGATGTTGAATCCATGATGTGGTGCTAAATGTCATTTTTAAAAAGTCAACTGCTCCTATAGTGTGTGACATTTTGAAGAGTTTTATGACCATGTATTAGAATGGCTCTGTGCTTGTATGGTAAGAACTTCCCTCTGTTGGATTTTGAAATGGGAACTTTCATCGCCTAGACATGGGGACAGGCGAAACAATGCATGAATAGTAACTGTTCATATTGCCAAATGTAAGTAGCTTGGGAACAAAAACTGTGACTACAGTTAGTGGAAGAAGTTACAGAAAAATGTCGTGACCAGTTAGGAATCATTCATTATGGAGAAGGTAGCAGATGAAAAACTCCTGCTTTTGCAAGATTCTCTCATGCACCTAACATTAAGAAATTGGTAGTAATGATGTTCACTCGCTATCATGAATTTCTCGTTGTAAGCCATACTCACTCTGTTTCAGTTATATGGCATGCTATGAAAATTAATAGCATACCAAAAGTTTTGCTCATGAGAAAGTTCTGTGACCATTTTTGAGAATTATGTCCCCTCCCCCCCAGCCTTCAGTTGTTTCATGTTTGATGCAGTTAGGATTTCGTGACAAGTAAATAGAAGACTGGTCAAAAGTAGATATACAATTTAAAGTACTGAATTAGATAAATGAATATTGTTAAATTGTTGTGTAATTTTTAGATGTAAGAGAGTCAAAATTCAATGGATGTTTACACTTTTAACCTTGACATGTTTATATGTTAATTCAGCAGGTGTTCAAAATTGGTATGTATTCTTAATAACACATTTCTTTCATTTTTTTGCTGACTTTTAGATACTAATGCTTGTATCGGTTCTTTTAGCCTAACCTTGATTATTTGTTTACTTCATTAGTATTCTATGATTTCCTACTGCTCTGTTAGGAACCACAATAAAGTGTGTATGATTATCCCATCAAATGAAACTAGTGCTAAGGCTTGCAGGGGCATCCCATATGTGACACACAGCTAGTTGAATTACTGCTCAAGTGTGAAATATATGTTCTCATCTCTCCTATACACGCATTTTGCTTGGATTACATATCCTGAAAATTTAAAGGTATCCTTATCAGACTAAACAGTTGGGTTTAAAACCATGGAATTTTAGCTGTCTGTTTGGATCAGCCTAGGGTTGGTAAGAGTTCAAACTTACCAATTCTAGAACAGTAGTAACTTGCACAAGAGCAGCAACAACTGTGTACCTACTTTTGGGGCATTCATATGTTTCAGCTTCAGCAGTTGCAGCAGTTTCAGGCAGGGAATGCCACTGGGCGCCCACATGGACAATCTGTTGCATTCACCTTGCCACCACATAGTAATACTTCCCCTGTAAGTACCATTAATAATTATAATGAAGTTTTCAATATTTACTTGTGTAATATGTAAACATTTTTATGCAAAAAAAATTGAAACATGTGGTGCGTAGGATATGGGAATTCACCTTTTTCAGAGTATAATTTTAAATGTTAGATTGAAGTCAGAAAAGTTATAGCTGTATATCATTAAGAGAAAGTGCAGTTTCTGTTCTTTAGGGCTTAATTTATAACTGCCATTTTGAACCCCTATTTTCTCATGTTTGACACACTTTCAAGTCGCTGCTTATTATAGCCAGTAAGGTGAGAGATACTAACTGTGCTTGTACTGAATACAGTGAGGCACCCAGTATATACAGTTCCAGTGACAGTAACACATTTTTATTATATAGCTGCCCCTCCTACATCTGCTTTAATATTTGTAGAAGTTGTACATTTGTTTAGTAGAGATTGGTCTGTCAAGACATGAGGATAAAAGCTAAATAATGCAAGACAAGAGGATGCCCCTGCACTCCAGCAGTGGCATGTAGCAGCCATTCCTAAGTTGGGTTAACATGTACACAAACAGGAGAGACAGAGAGCGCACTCTTGAGCTGAAAGCAATGAATAAGAGAGAGTGGATCATCTGGGGAGTTGCCCCTTGAAAGCAGTTTCCAAAAGATTATGGATTCTTGTAAAAGTCATGGGCAAATAATAACTTTGTGATTATGCAGAATTTGGACAAGCGTATTGTGACATGACAGATAAAAGCTGGAATAGTGGCTGTCATTGTTAGGCAGCAGTGCTGTAAACATGTTTCTGTAGCAACAGGTTGCAACACAACAATAGAGAATGCAGTGTTTTCAGTGGCATCTGCATGAAGGCATTATAATGAGGAACAGCAGCAGCAGTCGAAGTCGGTCTTCATTTGCATTATCAGCAGCGACTAGTGATATCAGAATAACAACAGAAGACATTTTGTGAGTGCTATAGTTATGTTGAGCTGTAGAGTGTAAATCAGGAGACTGTTATGGTTACTTGTTACAAGTTACAAGCATTCAGTAAATCCAGCTGTCCGTCCAAACCCCATGTATAGTCTCACATGACGGCTGGTGTGAGAAGTGGATTGATTTGATTGAAGACTACACTGGATAGTTATATCATTATACTGCAGAAATGGAGCAAGTGGTAGAATACCTGTTGGTCTAAATGAGACAAATGTAAGAGCTGGTGGAAGCCAACCATGTGAGATAAAAACTGTTTGAGGAAAAATAGAGGACAATCAAGTAGCGATGGAGGACTTGCAAGAAAATATATGGGACAGTTGAGAAGTGGCGGAGGCCATGATAAATACTGGCCAGGAACAAATAAGAGCCCAAACGAATGCCAGCCAAGAAAATATGGAGGCCACAATTAATTTCATTTGGTCTGAACAGGAAGAGACATAAAAAATTGTGTGGAATGCATCCTGGCACTTGAACCAACAGGCATAGGACCTCTATGAGGAACTGAGCGCAAAGATTGAAGAAGCACATCTGGGGTTACAAACGTCCCTCAATACATGGACAGAAAACCTCTGCAAGAAGATAGTGGAAATAAAGAGGACCTTTACGAAGATCTCAATATCAGGATCCAAGGAACATGGGTTGAGATGGAAACAACGAGGACCCAAGTAGAGACCACATGGCATGAGTTCAAAAGCCAGCTAGCAGAAGTTGAAACCCAAGCTGAGCATGTATCTTGTAGGAGAACAGGAACCAGCAGACGTGCAGTGGAGGCACCACAGTTCAATGGATCGACATTGTGGGCCATGTTTTGACAGCAGATTGAGATTGTGGTGGAGCACAACTACTGGATGACCTGCAAGAAAGCCACATACCTGATGACCATATTTAATGATCCAGCTGCCCACATTATACATGCTGTCCCCACTGGAGTGATATATGAAGAGGTTACTGAGGTGTTTCAGAATTGCCACAGTGACATCCACCTGGCAGGAGTATCCACTCTCAGCTGAAGAGAAGGACCCAGCTCAGTGGGGAGTCCCCGCAGGAGTTTGCTGCTGCCATGGACCACTTGGCTTATGGCCCCCACATTGTACTACCTGAACACTTAATTAGTAAAGAAGCTGCCTGTTCATGTGCTAATGGCATAAAGGAGTGAGGCATAAGGTGACACACTTGGGCCAAGAAGACACTCTGTGAGACCCACAATCAAAGCCTCAAGCTGGAAGTAGCTGACATAGCAGCTGGGATGCCCTGTAGGGCCCAACACATGAAGGCGAGGGCATTCTGGAGGAGGCAAACACACCCTCATGGACAACTGACAGCTTTTGTGCTGGTGCTGTGGGACTACCTGGCGCTTTCTAAAGGTCTCCTCTCACAGATTTTACTACAGATGCTGAATGTGAGAGGACTGATGCTCGAAAAATGTATGGGGGCCAGCAAGAAGAGGCAACGGATGCAGCCAGAATGCAACCGCAGCCCATGTATGTAGGGTCAGAATGGTCAGGAGACCATGTTCAGCAAGAACTAAGTACAGGAGAACAGAATGACCTGTCAGCCATCTTAGAAGGAACTACTGACAAGGATACCACAGAAAAACTGAGACTGGAGAAACGAATAGAAGAAACAGAGATGAAAGTAGTAATTTCACCACTGACGCCTCCTTTTTATGTCAGAAGAGCACTGACCATGACAGTCTACATGCCAAGGAAAGGATAGGAGAGAAAGCACATCAAAATTTTATCTGCTGAGCTTTCATCAAGGCAACACATGGTGGAGTCCATAGGTTTGAATGGCCATACCATATTCTGACTTTATATTCTACTTTATAATCACATTTTCTGCAAAAGTTATGTGTCGGTCAAAATTCTGTCAGTTGTGGTTTTCTTACAAGCCTTCATCAAGGAATTGCATTGATGTAGTCCAGAGGCATATACGAGGGTAGTACTGAAAGTCATGAGCAACAATTTTTTGTAAAGTAACATGCTTCATTATTGTCAAACCAAATACACCACCTTAATCTACAGACCTTTCTTTATTTTTCCACTTAATCGCCACTTCTTTGTACACATTTCTCCTAGCGTTCTGGGAGTTTGAAAATTCCCCTTCTGTAAAATTTCGTTCCAGCCATCCGAAGACACTGACGCACTGCTTTCTGAATTGCCTCCCTTGTCTCAAAACGTTGTCCATGCAGGTGATCCTTCACAAATCCAAAAAGATGGTAGTCGGAGAGTGCCAGATCAAGGCTATAGGAGGGGTGTGGAAGAACTTCCACCTCAGCTTTGCAGTTGCTTCCAATGTGAGGCGAGCATTGTCATGCAGGATGATTGATGTTTTGTCCCGAACGTTTATCGCGCAGTGCACGGCAGAGCTTGTGCAGCGTCTGGACATAACGAGCAGCATTGATGGTTTGCCCAGGTTCCAGGAATTCGGCCAGAATAAACCCCTCTGCATCACAGAAGACTGCCCATCACCTTCACAGCTGATGGCACCGTCTTTGCCTTCTTTTTTGATGGAGAATGCAAATGGTGCCATTCTATAGTCTGCCGTTTCATTTGAGGCTCAAAATGGTGAAACCAGCTTTCATCACCTGTCACAATACAGAGCAAAAAATCATCGCCTTCATGTCGATATCTCTGCAGCAGTTCTGAGGTGATGGCTTTTCACTGACCTTTGTGGTCTTCGGTCAATAACCGCAGGACCCAACGAGCACAAACTTTCCTATAGCCCAAGCTTTCAATCATCTCCTGTACTGCACTGTGCCCTGTTCCAAGTTTTCGGGCTATTGTGTCCACAGTCACACACCTGTCATCTTGAATGATCTCATCCACTCTTTCCTTGTTGCGTTCAGTTGAGGCTGTTTGAGGACGACCGCTCTGAGGCTCATCTTCGATGCTGGTGTTCCCATCTTTAAAATGTTTCACCCATCTTCGAACACTGCTCGCACCCATGCACACACTTCCATAAGCATGCTGAAGTCTCTGGTGAATTTCTGCAGCAGGGATTTCCTCTTTCACATGAAATTCGATGACAGCACACTGGCGAAATGACATTGTTGTCGGCCATTTTGTTAGGAGTGATACTGGTCACATGATGCAAAGCTATTGACATCACAAGACACGCTAGGTTAACAGAACAGCTGGTTCCACCTACCACCATATTCTCTTTCGTCTGCTGTCCCCAGGTTGCATGCAGAAAAAGTTGCTCATGACTTTCGGTATGACCTACGTATTTTTTGACACACTGTGTCTACAAATGTAGTTGTCAGGAGAGCTACTGTATGTACTATTTAACCAAAAATTCCTGTTTGTTTTATGAATAAGAAGGTTCGAAGTTGCCAGCCAATATAAAATCTAAAAGATGATAAAGCATTCAGTGTTTATTTCAACTGTAATTACTTAGTCCCTTATTCTCATAACATCTGTAGTGCATGCTCTAGTTGCAGAAAGCATATGGATGTTGCTGATTACTAATTCTTCAGTACTGAGTACCCTTCCCTTCTGACCTAACCGATGGACATTGGTTGATCCCTGTGTCTTTGATTTGTGAATTGATCAAGTAAGATCCTGATGTCCGTATCAAACATTGCCTTGTATGGGCTTCAGATGCTTATGGGACATCTCTCTGTAGTAATAAATGGCAACAAAACTTCCTAATTAACAGAGTCTTAGTTTTACTGAACATAGAACTAAATACCAAGTCTTGCTACTTTGATCAGAATTTTTATAACAGCATCATTAATTTCTAGTTCTTACTGCTCTTTATCTTGTTTGCTTATTGGGTTCTGGTTTTAACATGCTGAGTAAATACATGTTGTTACATAATCCAAAGGTACCTATTGTTGATGGGTTTGCTAAAAGTTGGTCAGAAATATTTTTAATTAATGGAGATGTGATAACTGCTTTTTACAGATGGTAAAATGTCAAGTTGTGTCTGTGCTTTGTTAAGCACCAGATATGTGTGTGAGTTAAGGTATAACCCCAGCACAATGGAGATACTGGTTAGCTACTTATCCCTGGGGAACCACACCCTGATACCCTTTGTATAGAAGGCTGGGTGGGCTTAAGAGCTTGTCTGAACAGTGTGGAGAAGAAAGAAATCTCTTACCCTCGCAGGAATTCAACACGATTCCCTAGTCTTCTAGTTGCACAGTTGCTTTACAGTTGAGCTGCCCTCACTGAAAAGAGCAGTAAGTACTAGATCTTCCAAATTCAATTTTGATTTGTACCAATAGCCCCAGTAATTTCTAGTTCTTACTAGAGAGACTAGTCTTGTACATTTAGGTTTACTCATAGGAACTGATAGCAATTCATTTCTGGTTTTTACTATAACATGTCTATTAAATGCAGGTTGTGTCATCATCATCCTCATCATCCTCTGCAGCAACTGTGGTCTGTTCGTCATCTTGCATCCCAGTATCCACGCATCATTTTGTCTTGACTCCACTTCACCATACTGGTGGAGGCAGCACTACCCATCCTCATCCGTCATCACATCCAATCACCTTGATCAATTCCTCTGGTCAGCAGCCAGGTGGCACACTAGTCAGCACCTCAGTGTCTCAGCCCTCTACCAGTTTCATCTATACCCCAGCAACCTCCGCTTCTCCCTCTTTCTCAACCTCAGGTAGCATTCCAACCACTGGACTTCAGCTTGGGAATCCAAATGTCACTATTGGACATGGCGGAACAATTCTTGCGACCCCAACTGCTGGTCTTCATTTAGGGGCAACAGTACCGCCTGCAGGAATGCCTGTGATAGGGTCAACAGTTGGAAATACTTCCATCCAGTCCCTTACATCAAATTCTACGCCAGGTGGTAGCTTATTTGGAGCATCTATCATACCAGCTGCAAACGCCTCGGCCAATAGTGGAGTTCTAGTGGGGCCATCAGGCACAACAGTGTTTACACCTGCCCTTGCTACAAATGCCATCTCCAGTCCTGGATCCCCTTTTTCTGTTCCTACAAGATCTCCAGCACCCCATGCTCCACCAACGCCTTCACCCAGTCCATTACCTCTTAGGTCCCCAGCATCAGTTCCATCACATCATCCCCCTTCTCCTGCTCCCAGTCCATACCATACTCAGTTGCAGTCCCCACAACAGCAGCAACAGCAACAACAGGGCAGTGTTGCCAACCCACCATACATCCTCTCCACAAGTGCCAGTCAGACCACTCCTGCAAATCTACTGAAAGAACCTTATGGGAGTCTTCAGCCACATGTTGTTTCAAGTTCTCAGACTCCAACCAGCTTTGTACTGTCTACTGCCAATGCCACTTTTAAGGTGTGTACATAATGCATAACTCTTATTTGACATATTTTGCTATCTTTATCATTGTGTGAAGTTCTTAATAGAAACCTAATTTGAACCAAATATAAGAAAAAATCCAGTATAGAATTGTAGTTTAAAATATACTTTGTTCTTTGAAGCTTTGCATACTGTATGACCATGTGCACTGGTATTCCAGAAATGCAAGTAAGTAAGAACTTTGTATGTATGCATGTGTCTGTACATATAAATTGAATTTTTCAGTGTACCTGTACTCAGCTCTGCAGTTTGCTCATAGTGATTATCTCTCTTAAAATTCCTACATTTTGGCTTGGGGATGTTGTTACAGGATGTGTACAACATGCAGCAGCCATCATCTCAACCACCACCACAGCCATCTGTAGTTGTGTTGCCACAGCAAAGGTCCAGTCTGTCAGGCAGCACTACGAACACATCGCCTTCCCCTGCCCAGTCCCCATATTCAAACCTCCAGTCACCAGTTTCACAACAGAATGCCACTATGTTGAACCAGCATCTTGTCCAACATATTGGCACTAACAGTGTGGCACCAACAAGATCACCAGCCCCTGGAGGAGCCCAGCCAGCTGGTACCATAACTCCTGGTGGGGCTCTTACACCCGCCCCTTCTCCTTCACCACAAACCAGAACTGCTGCTAGTCCAGTGATACGGTCAACTACTCCTCAGCCAACTGTCATACATCAGGTGTGGATTTTTCGTAGGACTCTTTAACATAGAAATTGTTTCTAATGTTAACTACCATGGAAGTCTGATGTAATGATCATGTTCTGCAACAAAAGTTTATTTTTCAGGGATCATAGCTTTTTGTTAACACTTTTCATTCTCAACTGCTTTGTTGGCTTACCTGCGGCCCAGCAGTACTCTAGTAGTTTGCAGGTTACACTTCAAAGAAACAAATAGTGTGCAATCTGCATTCATCCGAGGATTTACAAAAGGTTGCTACAGGCACACCCTAGTGACAGAGGAAAGAAATGATGTGCATTTGAAGGATAAATTATTTTGGCTTGACGTGGTGTTACTTTCTGACCTTTGTCAGATACAGTATAATTGGTAAACAAACATCCTTGGTTATGGGAACAAAAGGATTAGGCATAGCAGTATTCCTTATTTTTAATGAGAGTAATTTTCTTAATTTTCACTGTGTCAAGTGTTTTTCCCCCATTTGTGGTTTTGTCTGAACATATATTTGACAGTTCTGGAGCAATGCATAATGCATCGTTGAAAATAACACAAACAATTAAGATAATTGCCTTTTCTCCATGGAAGCAGATGTTCTGGTGTGGTCCTACCATTAGCCATCTTCCTCTAGACAGAGAAAACGCTGCATGCATTTTGAAAGTATTTTGTTTTGTCATGGCATGATACACTCTGACCTTGGTTGGATATGGCAGGATGGGTAAAGGGCCAACTTTGGATATGGGAGCGAAGAAGTTATGAGCATAGCAGTATTCTTTAGTTTTTGTTTTCACTGTGATGAGTGTTTTTCTCTCATTTGCAGTTTTGCATATATTTGTATTTGGCACCACAGAAGCAATGTGCAGTGCATTATTGGAAATAACAAGTACATCAGAAAAAATGTTTTTCTACGTTGAAGAGTGTGGCCTGGTATGATTATAATAACCTCTTTGAAGGCTGCTCCATCCCTCTCTCGGGAGCACTAATTACTCCTACTCACATAATCCACGCCATCTCACTTCTCACGGGAACAGTAATAATGAATCCATAATAGTAATGTCTCTGGCAATGGGCACTGTAGAAAGATTCATATTATCGAGTACTTGTTCAGTAGCAGAATATATGTCAAATTGCTTGATAATTTTGATCAGATTTTTAATATTCAATTATTTGTCAGGTATTTAAATATTTTTATATTTTGCAACATATAATGGCTTTAATTTAATTTCTTTCCCATATATTTGAATTGATTATTTGCAGCATTTGGTGTTATTATTTTGATTGTGCCTATCACCGAGCATCTCTCTCCACATGAAGAGTGTATAACTTCGTAGATCTTGTGTTTTAACAGTTATGGGGGACTTTATTATTTTTGTTATGAAACTTTTTACATAATTGTGCCCAGATGGAGAAAAAATGCATGCTAAAAATACTCAACTTAAGTCATAAATACAGGTGCAATTCAGCCTAAAAAAACAAAACTGACATGGTTATTTCATTATTGGTACTATGTAAACATTATTTTGACTATAGTATTCATGATACTCAGAGTAAGAATATTTACTATGGCATGACCATTTTTTTTGTTATGTATACCGAATTCAAATTTCGCTGCATGATTCACTTTATAGTTTATCTCTTTTATCTCAAATATTTGGGAAGACGATATGCTAACTGTACCTGCTGCAGATTAAGTGATAAAGTTTTAAATTTTTCCCCCTCTAGACAAAGCCTTGTAGACACTGAATAGTTTGCATGTGATCACACTTCCTGCACATAGTTTTTTTATCATGATGTTTAAAATTGCTTCTTAGTGTCAACTTCTGTATACCAGATTTACCAAAAATTCCATTACAGTCTTGTTGTAGTTCATTCGGTATTAGGTAACTTCCAGTTTTAATGCTGCTTCACAGAATGGTTTATGGGATTCACATATTGTATAAAAACACTGCATTTTCCTCCCAGTGATGTCACTACATTTATGGACACTAAATTATTCAAATCGAAATCACTTTCACACAAATTCTCTAAACTAAATTCCACCTTCAAGAACACACAGCATGCCAGAAAGTTTCAGTTGAATTCTCTATCCACAGAAATGGCAGGTTATAAATTATGAAGATAAATTTCATGTTTGGTCTGAAACTCTGGCCATTAAACCTTGTTAAAAATGAATATATTGTATCAATTTTCAAGTATGATTCACATTTTTATGTTCCACAAATTTTGGGAAAAGTCTGTGCATATACAGGACACATTTTTCGCTTATGCACATACTGTTCTTGATCTCATTTTCCCCTTCATTCCCTTAATCACACAGACAGCATTCCTTCATCCTAGTTTGTAGTTCTCAAAGGTATTTATTTTCACTACCCTGCAGTATCTCCCATACTTGACTACCTAGCAAAACTTTTCTTCTCCTAGAGCCATTCTTCTGGAAAAGCACCAATAACCTTTATTGAAAATTCCAAGTAGGTCACTGGTTTATTACCTTCTGTCATATTTTTCTAATGAATTGTGTAACTATTCAGGACCATTCATAAGACATATTAACATTTAAATACCAGGCATTAAAGTCACTCACTCCCTGCAGGCCCCTGCTGTGCCCATGTTTGGATAAACCAGTGTAATAATAGACAGAGGACAATGATATTGTATTTGATTTGAAATACAAAACTCATTATCAAGAAGGGTTCATTTTACAACCAGAAGCTGCATGTTAGGTGATTATTTTGTGAGGGGTTTTTGTTGGAGAGTAATGGTGTGCCTGCCTGTTCCTGTGTTTGCAACAAAATTTGTTATATTTTGAATGTAAATTTTGTTATTTACGTACTTAAATATAGATGTGGATGGGTCATGTAAACGTATTTTCTCTGTTGGGCAAGGAACATTAGCTTTCTTTGCTCTGCTGTATGGCTACTCATTAATATGTTTGCAGTCAGCGTTCCTTCTCCACGTTAGCCTCTACGGGTTCAGTTTTGTAAGGTATACTTTTCAGCATATAAAAATATGAAGTCCATTACAGGCCTCACTGCTTAGCACACTGATTTGTATGGTTTATCTCCAGACATAAATTAAGTAAATGTATCCTTGTAACAGGCCGTGGAGCCCCAAAGGGTTGTGAGATGTTGAGGTTCCCACATTTTCAAGACCATCGGCTCATAGATGGCAGCAAGATAGTCACCCCTATTTGCCAGCCACCCTTTCCAGACATGGATGTTGGAATTCATTCCTGTGTGCCCCTCCCGGGGCTGCTAGAACAAGGTCAAAATCAGTTGTTCCTTGAACTGTAAGTGGGTCATTTACCCCAAATATCTGCCTGGATTTGCTGGTCATGATAGCTGAACGTTTGTAGCTTTGAATTATGGTGGGCTGCATCAGTCAGTGTTCTTTCAGAATCACAAAGCGCCCAGAACTTCATTCCCGATCTTGGTAGTGTTAGTTGGATCAGTGCTGCATTGGTTGGATGTTGTTGTATTGACATGACCTTGAAAAAACAGGTGTGCATACCTGATTGTTTCAGTAGCAGTTATATTTAGCACGATTGTTATAAAAACAAAACACAAGTATGTATGTGTAAGGGTGGGACATAGTGATTTGGCCCTTGCACCGCAACCATCACTGATCTATTGTGTTGTAAGTTGCAGGCGCTAGAATTGCAGATGGGATGTACTTTAATCCCTACAATCCTAATTTTTGGTGTGTGGGTGATTGTCATTGTCAGTAATAATATTGTCATGGGTCACAGTGACTAATGAGACACAGGTTTGGATTGGTGAATTGGTTTATTGGATCTTCACTAGTTGTGACTACAAATAATTGTAACACTTTCAAGATTACTGTAATTATAACACACATGTTAACTCTTCACAGGTCTTCTGTTCACTTCTCTCGTATGCACTCTGCACTAATCTTCACATGTTTATAACACGGGAACTATAACAGTTTCACTTAATCACACACTCCAAGTGTTACACATAAATGAGTTTCACTGAATCACACACTCCAAGTGTTACACATAAATGAAGTCTTCTAATCACAATTTAAGTCTTCTACAAACTACCCGTTGCTGTCTTCTGCCAAGAACTCAGAACTCTGTCACTGCCTTGGTCAAAGTCAAAGTCACATTGTGACTGACGGTTAGTCAGTCTTTGTGTCGAGCCCAATCTGGGGCTTATGACCAGATATTTATTACTGTTTGACAGTTTCGGTCTTGCTTTTGTTGGGCACCCTCTCTGATGAGAGGGCAAGTCTGTCTTTTGTCAGAGTCATAGTCTGTAGTAGTAAGTCATTTGTCATAATGTAAAGGATATTTAAATTTTACATGTTAATAAATGTATGTAAAAGAAGCTGCCCTTTGATTTTAGCATTCACAAATGAAGTCCAGGTTTCATCACCTCTTACTCATATGATAAGATTGAAAAATTAATTGCCATTTTTGTGGTATCGCTCTAAAAAAATCAAAGCTGAGGCCATTTTCTGCATTATATGCACACCCATGAACATTTTCAGAACACAACTTGTGATAGCTTAGCATGTTATAATCTTGTAGAGAGCAGTGCATGGAATTTGTGGAAATTCTCATGAACGTTTTGGAATTGTGAAGCGCCATCTTTCACAGAGTTTTGATCAACACATCAAACAAGATCATCACTCACTGCAGATGGCCGGCCACTTTGCTGTTCATGGTTGACATTTATTCAACCATTATTGGACATCCTACATCATTGTATTACAGTTCCTTCACTCATTACATTTTGGCCATAAACTGCCCATAATTCACAGTGGATTGCTACAGCACTCAAGTTTTCAGCTAAAAGGAAGCAGATAACAGAAAACACATCACAGCTGGTGGGATTATCAATTGCAGGACCCATCATAACTCACTCTGTAGAGAAAGGAACAAACAATAGGTGACCGATTATGGGATGATTTACAAGGCAGTGAGTCACATGACATTGCCTTACATGCTCAAGTTTTCCACTGTTCCTGCATTAGTTGCCAAAATAAATGGAGTTTACTTTCCCTCATATTAGATTAAGAGAATGTTTTTACTTCTTCATTCAGATGATGATAAATACACTGAAATTGTTTAAGTATTATTTATTATTTTCCTATCTCCATGATTCTAGTTCAGGTAGAATTACCTTGCTATACCATGTACCTTCGCTATTTTTAAGCCTTAATGCTATATTGTGATATGCATGAACAGAAATCAGACAGGATTGAAGATTGTGTGTAGCATCCATTTAGGTTGTTACTACTCTGTCCAAAAAGTTTCCGACCTTGGACCGGGAAAACAAAGTTCTGTATCTGGGTGGTTACAATACCTAATCCCCTTCAAAGTAGGCCCCTTGTGACTCCACACACTTAGCCCAGCAGTCCTTACATCACTGGAAGCAATTCTGGAAGGCTTCTTTTGGAATAGCGTGCACCTGTGCTGTCGCTTTCCATATGATGTCCTCGTGGCTGTCAAAACGGGAGCCTTTTAGAGGTTTCTTCAATCTCAGGAACAGCCAGAAATCACAAGTAGCCATGTCAGGAGAGTATGGAGCCTGTAGAACCTGCAGAATGTCTTGCTTGGCCAGGAAACCCTAGATCAGGCATGATGAATGAGCTGGGGTATTGTCATGATGCAGCTGCCAGTTGCATGCGTCCCACAGCTCCGGTGTCTTGTGCCAAACTGCATCACAAAGATGGGAGGACTTCTTGGTAGTACTCCTTATTGACAGTTTGGCCTAGTGGTGCGTACTCATGATGCACAACACCCTGGAAATCAAAAAAAAAAATGTATCACCTTCACATTGCTCTGAACCTGTCGTGCTTTTTTGGACCTCAGGAATGTTGGATGCTTCCATTGTGATGCCTGGACCTCGGTTTCCGGGTCATATCCGTACACCCACAACTTGTCACTAGTGATCACAGTCTTCAGGAACTCAGGATCCCTGTTAGCGCACTCTAGCATGTCCTGCGTGACCTCAAGGCAGAGTTGTTGCTGCTCCGGTGAAAGCAGCTTGGGCACAAATTTTGCCGCCACTCTTCGCATGCCCAAATCCTCAGTTAAAACTGTTTTAGCAGAAAGTCAGATACTTTATAGACAGCGGCGTGTGTGCATTTTTTCCAAACGTTTATAAATTCATGTGATATCAAAGTTATACTGTTTCAGTAAAGTATTTTAGAATGAACTGAAAACTTTAGATAGAGAATGTGTGTGTATGTGCGTGCGCATGTGTGCAGCTGAAGCTGTAAGTTCCCATAATCAGTATAATGAGGAAGTATACATACTCTGCATTATATTTCATTAAATTATGTGTTACAAGTTGAAATTTAGAATCATGAAATGTTTTCTTCTCTTTCTCTTGTTTTTTTTTTTTAACTTAGGTTGCAGTTCAGAACATTTTTCACTGGCTTCAGTAACCTGGTTTTAAAGATATGACTGTTTTGACAGACATTACCAGCTGGACTGGCACTCTCTGGGACTGGCCAATTTCCAGTGATACCTCCAGGCTCAACAACCATGCTGCAAGGAAATCATCAGCTAGTTCAGATCATACATCATCAGACAGCTGCACCGCCAACTACTACATTTCCTTCCCATACACAGATTATTACCACTGGTAAATGCATTTTTTTTCTGTTCCCTGTTCATATATGGAGCCCTTTAGTTTAGGATTAACAGACTTTTATTTTGTAATTTCGTGTAGTATTTGATAGCTGACACAATCCTTGAATTTTTATTTTACAGTTTCATTAATGTAGTAAGTCAGGCTGGAGGTAGGGAAATTTGACTCTATTCAACTTTCATACGCAGTTTTGATTCAGAATGAGAGGTAGAGAATGTCTGTCTTATCTCCTGTAAGCGTTTAATCTCATAAGTATGCATATACAGTAAATTATGGATGGAATGTTTGTGGGGCTTGCAAGTGTATGGCAAAGAGTGAGCAGGACTTCTGCTTATAAAGGATGACGCATAGTTAGCAGTCATTTGAAGGGTATAAAATGTAAGTTCAATGATAGTTTTAACTGTTTGGTTCAAATAGAGCTAACAATGATGAGAATGTTGAATTCTTCGTTATTTTTCTATCACCATGGTACTCCAGGGAAAAAGAGATATTGTAGTATATGTTAGAACGAGCATTGTTTAGAATTTCATAAAGTCTTGTGATATCGAGGTTGGACTGTATAACTCCATATGACTTCAGAAACTACAGGCATGTTTGCAAAGTGAAGTATCTTACACAGTATAGATATTCATGACTTTCAGTCATATTAGAATTCATTTACCTTATTTTAGTTCGAGATTAGATTGTGACAATCATAGTTATCATTGGTAGTATTGGTGCCCATTGAAGAGACCATTGTTTTTATATAATCAGTGGCAGTGCTGAAAGCAAAGACATCAAAGATAGTTTTGCTGCTGTATGTTGAGCTGTGTGTTATTTTTGCAGCAGGTCCAGGAGGTACTGTGCCTATACATCAGAGTGGCACCACAGTAGGAGGTCCTCCTAAACCAAAGCAACCGCCTCAGATCCTACCAAAGCCACCATCCGGCCAGCCATCTAGTGGTTCTCATGCCAAATTAGCAGCAAATTCCCGATCTACAAGCACTCAGCATCAAGGTACATTACACTGCTATAAGCAAAGTGATATGATGTACAAAATGTATGCTGTTACCAGATTCATTTGAAAGAATTTTGCTGATGTCTCTAAAACAAGAAGGAAAGTAATAAAGGAATGTACATTTCTTAGTGTGGATTAAATTATGTTTCTAATAGATTCAGTAAAATATCTTAATTTCTTGCATTAGTATTCTTGCTGTTCCCATTTCATAATGGTGCAGGAAGTTGAATTGTGTAATATAAACCATAGGCTACTGTTTACTTTTTTTTGTCTGAAACTCTTTTTTTATTCACCTCAGTTAGGGACTCTGATCATGAAGGGTTTATCATAGACATGTCTTGGTATTGTTTTATCAGTCCCCATCTGTAGGATGGGTTCTTTTTTCATGTCCTGAGTCATATATGCATGTCCAGAACCTTCAGATATGGGTTTCCTTTGATCGTTGCGGTAGAGTCTGTAAATTCCTGCTTTGGCCTCTGTCTCAAACTCCAGGTGTAGAGGGTGAGTCCAAGGAGGACTTCCATTGCAGCTGTTGGAGCTGTTCTCATTGCTCCTGTAATTCCCAAGCAGGCCATCCTTCACAATTTACCAAGTTCTGTGTGACTTTTATATAGTTTATCTCTGGGCCACGATATAGTGGCAACATAGGTATGGGTCTTACTGCTGCAGTGTATATCCAATATATGGCTTTTGGTTTAAGTCCAAAAGTTTTCCCAAATAATTAAGTTTCCTGGGCTTTGGAATAAATGTCACTTTAAATTGCCTCCAGGCCACAGGAATAAACCCATGCTCCCTGCAGACTCTGAATATGCGGCATAGGTGTGGAACTAAATGTTCCACTCCTTGCTGCAAAAGTGCTAGTACAATTCCATCTGTTCCCACAGACTTGATTGTTTCAAGGTGCCTAAAGCCCATCTAATTTTTTAGTGGTTGATCACATGTTTGGCCAGGCTCCAGTCTCCCCTGTTAATTATGCGTCCACATATGCCCAGGTTCTGCTGACCTTGTACATCGTCTTATGAATCATCAGTCAGCTTTGAATCAGGAAAGCGAACTCTGAACAACTCTTTCAGTGTCTCCTTTGCTTCTTACTTTAACTCCAAATAATTATAACATTTTCATTAACCTACATGATCTGCAAATAACTATGATGGCAAGTCATAATGTTTTAATTATCTCCATGAGAAAATCATAATTCCAGAATATCGTTCTAGTATACAGGAGATAGCCCATTTCCTGAGCTTACCAAACAGTCAAATTTTCCCGTGCTAAGTGGACAGGGAGCCACCGGAAGGGGCAGAAACAAAATGGTGATGTCAGTTGAGAAAGTGGAGGCACTTGATGTGATACAGTTCCTGCATTTTCAATGGAAGTCTGCCAGGAAGGTGTACCATCATATGACACTGTGGTCAGGTGCAAGAGGCGCTTTAATTGTGGACAGATAATCCTCGAAGATGAACCCCGAAGTGGAAGACCATCTCTTGCTGAGGAACCGGGAATTGTGGCACAGGTGGAAGCTTTAATCCTATCTGATAGGTGCATCATTATTGAAGCTATTGTTCACGAGGTCTGCATTAGCCATAGGTCGGTTTTCAACATCATCCATGACTAGTTACACATAACAAAGGTCGCTGCACATTGGATGCCATGACTGTTGACACCATTTCCAAAACAGCAACGGATGGATGTGGCAAAGAAACTTTACAGTTTTGTCAAGACGAAAAGGTGGAAATTTTTGGCCACCTATGATCACGATGGATGAATGTTAGGTCTATCATTATGGCCCTGAAACAAAGGAGAAGAGCAAACAGTGGAAACATGCAGACTTGCTGCCACCAAAGAAGGCCAAATCCCAGCTGTCGTCAGGAAAGGTGATGTTGAGTGTGTTCTGGGATCAGCGTGGTGTCATGATGCCCAACTATGCGCAAAAGGGCATCACCATCACTGGCAAGTACTACCTTCTGAGAATATTACGGGAGGAAATCAAGAAAAAGCGACACGGAATGCTGTGAAAAGGCGTGCGACTTCACGACAATGCACTGGCTCATGCTGCTCATGCCACGATGACACTTGCTGCCAGTTTGGGATATGAAATTCTCCCCCATCCACCATGTTCACCAGACCTGGCACAGAACGACTTCTTCCTCTTTCCATGGCTAAAGAAGTCACTTTGTGGTAAGCGATTCCAAGACGATGTTGACATCATTTCTGCAGTGGAGGACTTCGTAAACAGTCAAAATGAGACCTTCTATGATCATGGTATCCAGCAGCTAATGCATCATTAGGGAAAATATGTGGCCTTGCAGGAGACATATGTAGAGAAGGAGTAACTCACATACAGTTTCTTGCACCTGTGTCTCTGTTTCTTCTGGTTGATAATTAAAATTTTATGACTTCCCCATGTACAGCTGTGAATAACTGTTTCGATTCCTGGTTCTACCAGATTTTCTGAGAAGTAGTGGGTCTAGAACAGAGTCCACTCAGCCTCGTGCAGATAATTGAGGAGCTATTTAAAGAAATAGCAGCTCCAGTCTAGATTAACGGCCCTGGGGATCTGTTGCGCTCACCACACAACCCTCTCTATCTGCTAAAGTTAGCACTAACTTCTCCCACAAGCAGTGGTCACTCAGTCAGTATAGTTCACTTGCAGACTAAAGGCCACGAGTTTTATATATATATATATATATATATATAGTAACTGTTATTTCTTCACTACTCATTGCTTGATTGCAGCCTCTAACACTGGGCGTTCCTTTCACTGCATCCATGTTTAGCGGCTCCTGTCCACACTGTTAAGGTTATGTGTACATCGGCGTTTCAAATAATCTAAAATTATAATTCCATGCTGTAAACATTTTTAAACAATTTATCATAGCATTTTGATACAACCAGGAGATTAGAGAGAATATGAAAGTTATTCTTGTGTCATCCATTATTCCATCTTTCCTTGAAAATTTATGGAACTATCTTACAAAGAGTTAACTTATTCAAGTGCATGGTTAATGATGATTCTAGTTATATTCTGTAAGAGTTCAGTAAATCAAATTACCAATCCGAGCCCCATCTGTAGTCACTGTGTCATGTGACAATAATATCTGGAATGGAAACATTTTTACCAGAGAGCAAAGACTTTTTTTCGTAACAGATTGTCAGTGATTTAGTAACTGTTGTACACATCAGAGCACTAATTGTCTCATTCTAAGACCACCTCTGGTTAATGACAACAGAGCTACAGCAGATGATCCTGGTTTTATTAGTTTTTACAGTGATGATAATGTCATGTTTGTGAGTGACTGTAGATGGGTTTTGGATTTTCAGTTGGATTTGTTGACTACTTACAGGTAGTAACTACAAGTAATTATAATGCTGTCACTTAATTCATGGAATAGTCTTCTCACTACAGCACATACTAAGTCTTTTTCATTTTGTTTTCAGTAACCATTTTCTGTTAACAAATCTAAACAGTGTCCTCTGCTTATGTCTTTACTGGCTAATGATTGTCTCACAGCTGACTAGACTCTAGACTTGTTCTGCCTATAACATCTTGATGTGGATCACATAGAAAACACCGCTTCTCATTGTTTTATTTCAGTTGTTGCTTCTTATGAATCTGTTGCCTAGCAGCAGACGTTGTTTACCGAGTTATTACTTAGCACTGGGTCTATATGCTACAGTATCAGTTCTCAAAGCAAAGTTATACTTACTGAAACTCAGAGCAACAAACATGTAAATACTTGGCACTTTCTTTTTTCGTTGTTTGTTAATGTAATCCGAAGCGGTTAGTTGCTGGCTTCCCACTGCAGCGGGTCTGGTCAAGTGGGATTTGTGGTGAACAAAGTGGCACTGGGGCAGATTTCCTCCAGGTACTTCGGTTTCCCCTACCAATCTTCATTCCACCAAATTCTCCATCATAATTACCCGGGGCAGGCTACAATAGGCCAATCAGTGGCTTCCATGCCAAGTGGACCCAGTTGGACTCCACCCCCCACTAAGTGAATTTAAAAAAAAAAAATATTTTTAATGTAATCCAGAAGTTTCAAAAGCGGACCACAGAACACGGCTCCAAAAATTGGTACTGTTCTGCCGAAAACATGATGTCTGGGATTGATAGTGTAAGAAAATGACAATTTGAAAAGCTTTTGGCCATAGATGGGAAGGCACTATTAAAATGAACTGTGAAGTAAGAAGACTGACGATGTATTCTGTATTCTTCTTGTTCAGAATGAAGTCTGGTGATAGGCCTTCATGAACATGATATGAACCATTGGATTCCATAAAAATGACTGATACCTTGTCAAGAAGGACTCTGCTTCACAGAGGTCATTGTACAATAGACACGCAAATATCTAATTCTTCTGTTGGTATGGATTTCAGACATATCATTTTCATGCATGTTTGAAGTGAAAAATGGCATCAGTTTTTTGTCTGTATTTGACATTTATGCGGAGTTCAGAACCATTCTAAAACCACTGCCAAGTTTAAATTCTGAATATATTTGTTTTAACCTGCAAGCACCACTGAGCAAGATGCTTTACACCAGAGTGCTTGATGAGTTGCAGAGTTGTCAGAAACTTGATTATTTGCACAGGTCTCCACACGCAGCACCATACCACAGCTCCTGCTGCACAAGTTGTGATTGGTCAGGCCAACCATTCTACAGTGATACCGACTGCACAAGCCGGCACTCTCCTGTTGAATCCGGTAATCTGCTTTTGATAAAATATTTTCCTTTCTTGTCTGTTAATTCCTACCTGTTCTGAAAATTGATTTTTAATGATTGGTAGTGACTGTGGATCAGAAATGGGGACCTGGTGTGCAGACCATCACTGATACTGTTACTGAAAAATCTGCAGGCATTTAACAGAATACAGCACAGCATTAATGGAATTGTTTCTATGTTTAAGTCCTTCACAGATAATATATTGTGGCGTATTTGCTTCATGCAAGAACAGTTGAGCCACAGAAATAGCCATTTTTAAGTAAAACATGCACACAACAATAGAACAACAGGGTTGCACTATCTGTTTCTAGGCAACAGCTCGGTAAACCCATTTCCACATATTGGACTGTGCTATGCAACATCAGTGATGTCAGCAACAATATGGACTCTGTTTCCTGTGGGGTCTGTGCAGAGTGCTTACAGGAGAAATGAGTTAAGAAGCTAGGAGTAGTTGAGAGTATAAAGATGAGAATGGAGCATGTGTTTAGTGAATTGTGGAGATTAGTTGAGTACAGATTATGACGGAAGAATACAGAGTGATTGGAGACAAAATAACAAGAAGACATCGTAGTGATTTGAACAAGTATAAACTGAGAATCCTAATGTGTGTGCAATAGTGAACTGGAAAGTGTTTAGATAAGCAGTAGTGCTGTATTGAGTGTGATTAAGAGAACTTGTAACCAAGGTGCCAATAAATCTAATCATCCGAACTAGAACCCATTATTTTTGTCATGTGTACCCTCCTACACATGACAGTATTTATTTATTTTCTCAATCTGACAGTTCTCAAATTGCAGGCTTGAAAATTAATTTTAAGAAGTAAGAAAATTCTCCTTCAGGGAAAAACATGACTTACAAGTGTTTGAAAGCAAAAGCTGATCAAATTTTTTAATTTGTCAGATACTCGATGAAAAGAGGGAGTACAGTGAGGCAGTGCCTCAGTAAACTTCAGGAAGGCCTCTGATTCACATAGGAAGGAAATATTGTACAATATTCTCATCAAGTATGGGGTACCCGTAAAATTAGTTATGCTTATTAAAATGTGTTTAAATGAAACCTATAGTAAAGTCCATATAGGTAAATATTTGTCTGATACATTTCCAATTCAAAATGGTCTAAAACAAGGAACTGCTTTATTGCCATTGCTTTTCAGCCTTGCTTTAATATATACCATTAAAAAGGTGTAGGAAACATGGTGGGACTGAAATTAAATGGAACATAGCACCTGTTTGTGCTGGTGATATAAATCTGTTGGGACAGAACATAAATACCATAAAGAAAAACACAGAAGCACTGGTAACGAGGCTGGTCAAAAAGTAAATGCATTGAAAACTAAGTATAAATGTACAGTTTACATATTACATGCTATTAAATGTATGTATAAGGGGCAGTCAAATGATAACAGGACAGAAGCCAAAACATATTAAAGAACATTTCTTACCTCAAAAGTGATCTCCAAAACTGTTAATACGTTTATTCCACTGGGAGATAAGACGGTCAGTCCCATCCTTGATGAAGCTTGTGGGCTGTCTACGGAACCACAACTTTACCCAGCACACATGTCTTCGTCCTGTGCAAACTGATGTCCATGAATGTCTCTTCAGGTCTCCAAAAATGTGAAAATCACATGGGGAGAGATCTGGGCTGTAGGGGCGATGTTGAAGCACTTCCCAGCCAAATCGCTATAGCGTATTCCTCACAGAGTTGGCAGTGTGGGGGCGCGCATTACCATGAAGAAGGATTTGATAGCATTCCAGGGCGTTTTTTGATGTGGAACCCACTGCGTGCAGATTTTGTGGTACAGCAGGTGTTTTGTCACAATGGGATGTATGGAACCGTGACTTATTCCCATCAAAAGACTAATTTCTTCCACGGTGATCCGTCGGTTTGCCTGGATATGACCATCCAACACAGCAATAACATCAGGCATGATGACACGATGAGCCTGTCCTAGGCAAGCATCATCTTGCAGTGACACATGTCCCTCTCGGAATCTCTTATGCCATGCCAGCACACGCAAACATGACATGCTGTGTTCACTGTAAACAGCAGACATGCAATGATGAATTTCTCATCCTCCTACTCCTTCAGCAGTCAAAAAGTGCACTACACTTCACTTCTCTTCTTTACCCACCTCCATTACTGATGTTGGACGACCACATGTAGTGCTAACCTTGCTTCCAGCACAATAAACAAACGACTAGTGTGCAAGAGCACATTTCACTGTGCTTTCCCAAGTCACCACCAGATGTTTGTACTATAAGTAAATTCCAGTGTTACCAACTTGCGCACCATGCGAGTTATGCATTGTGACCCGTTTTCATTTGGCTGCCCCCTATATATACGAGGGGCGTTCAAGTTCTAAGGTCTCCGATTTTTTTCTCAGGACTGGGCACAGATAGACACATGCAGTTTAGTTTAAATACATGTGTACTCTTTGTGAATGCGTGACAGAGATGACAGCACTGTACGGCACACAGAACTCTAGTGGTGGCGACGAGGGTGAGGAGTGTTTTTGATACTTAAAATGGCGACGTTTTTGTTACAAGAACAGCGAGTAATCATTCGTTTTCTCCACTTGCGTGGCGCGACACCCATTGAAATTCATCGCCAGTTGAGTGAGACATGTGGTGATGGTGTCATGAATGTGAAAAATGTACGTTCGTGGGTGCGACAGTTCAAAGAAGGCCGAACATCGTGTGACAACGAACCAAAACCTTTGTTTTAGCCGACGTTTCGGGGGAACGTATCTACGTAGCTACTGCTCTCTGTATTTGCAACGCAATTCACCTGCCCTGAAGATGGAGGCGATACGTTCCTCCGGAACGTCGGCTGAAACAAAGAATACACAGCACCAGATCCCAGAAGACGACTTTCTTCATAGTCATCACCATGAAAGCCTCAAAACTTACAAATCCACCAGTTCATCCCACATCAAAAGATGATCATGAAATATACCCCTTTCCATTTGCAAACGCTGTAAGTGGGTGGTGGACAGAAACACTTAAAGCACAGTTATGATTCAGCACATCAGAGTACAGTTTGCACAGAAATTCCATTTCCCCTTATGTTCAGTGAGAATGCAGGATACACTTTGCTGATTAGATTGTCACTTCTGCTGAATTTACTTTATGTAAAATGCTGTGTGTGCATTTTAGTACTGTATACACAGGCTCTTCATATGCCAGTTCGTTGGCATTGTTCATTTATATGGGCATTTGGTGCATCTTTTAACCCTTACTTAATGATATTGTGACATGTTGACCCCTACCTCCCCAGCGGAACGTAGTGGTAATGTAGCGCTCGCGTAATAGGCGAGTCATCACCCCGCACCTCTCCCCGCGGTGACGTCACGAGCGGAGCCGAAGTTAGCCGAGTCCCCGCAACCTTGAAGCTATGCAAGGCGACATCACCAAGGGGTAACAGCGTTGCTAGACTATACGCCACGTCACACTAGCAACAGCGAACGGAATAAAAGCCGGCTGAGCAGCAAGCAAGAGTCAGTTGTAATGTGGCTACCGCAGAGTTAAGTATTAGACGAGCAAGTGTGTTATCAACAGTCCTCAAGTCAGCAGACTACAGTTGGAGTATAGCAGCCGTCGCGGAAAGAAGAACCGGACGTGTGTGTGATTGTGTAATTGGGAGTGTGTGATACAGTGATACATAGCTCCCCTACTGTAAACGTGTAGACTACTGAACACAGAGTGAACTGATTTGCGTATAGGGTTATAAATCGTGAAACCCCACAACAGTGTTAACAGATTAATGCGATTAGGGTTATAAAGTGTGAAACCCCGCAACTGTGTGATAACTAATTGTAGCCGTTACTTGTAGATTGTTAAATAAACCAATTAACCATCTCTACGGCGTCTTCAGTAACCCAACACATTACAATATTCACCTGCCATAGAGGTACACCCATGCTGCTACGCATCTAGAGCATATACCCGTGCTGCTGCACATCTAGAGCATGCATCCATGCTGCTACACATCTAGAGCATGCATCCATGCTGCTATGCATCTAGAGCATGCACCCATGCTGCTACACATCTAGAGCATACCCCTTGCTGCTACGCATCTAGAGCATGCACTGGCTGCTCATGCCAATCTTAAGGAGAGTACATTCAGGCATAACTGTATATGAAATTTGTATAATTTACTTTCATATGTACCCCCACAATACCAAAAATCCATATACTGGTAAATCACAGCTGCATAGTTTCTTCTTAAGAATTGTACCTCTGTGTGTGTGGTTCGAGTGTAACGTTTTGTGTACGTGAACACAGTGTCAATTTACTTTCTTTGGTTTACATAACTAAAATAACATTGTGATGCAGGTTATACCTGGGCTGGGAGCAGGGGGCCCTGTATTGGTACAACCCAACCCTAGTGGAGGTGTACAACTAATTCTGCGCTCCCCGACTCCAGGCACCCAAGCAACATCTCCTGCTCAGAGCAGCCAACAAAACCAACAGCAGCAGGGCAAAAGTCCTACCTCTCATCAACAGTCCATGTTCATCTCAGGTGCTGCCACTGCCCAACTTATACAAAGCACTGGTCGGCAGCAGATGCAGCAGGTAAGTAATTTTTCTATTCTTGGATATATATTAGTATGTTGTGAGCATTTACATTATTCAACCCTTTAATTGCTATATTTTTATTATTCGGCTAGGCCCTGTTGCTAGGTTTTTATGCACTTTTAACTGTCTGTACATCTTACAGCTTGCATACCACATCTGTTAGCCCAAAAGCTTCATGATTGCATTCATAGTGGGCACTGCATCCAACTATCTGCTAGCACCCACCTGACTGATATTGATCAACAAGATGTCTACATGTAAAAGCTACTGTAGTACCACTTAGCAGTACCTGTATTCCTGGCATGGTGCTGATATACTAGCACATACAATAAAAGATTAATCTTTATTGTACAGTACTAGGGATTTAACACTTCCATACTGCAGGCCTGGCAGTTGGATTTTAATGTAGAGAGCTTATCTATAGCAGTGATACTCAAAAACATAATTATTTACAGCTGTTCCTCCCAAAGTATTTGAAAGAAAGAATGTCGCTGAATTCTGTAGTGTTTTTATTAGTATAAAAATTGTTTCCAGAAGTTTATAGAGCCGTAAGTAAAATAAAATTTTATTTTGTGTAAATCAAAATATGTGGCCTTTAACATTATTGGAAGTGTTTCCTTCCATTGTTGTGGCATACCTGTGATACAGAACTCCATATTTGTATGGTACAAGTTTGTTAATGAACACAGGGTTATACACAGGCTGACTTTGCAATTTGAGCACTGAAAGTTAGTAGTTTATTTGCTCCTGGCTGAGTATGCATGACACTCCTCTTCTGGTGAGACTTTCCATTATCATATGCTTAGCTGTCATTGTCTCTGTTGCCTTTTGCCTCTCCACCAGCCTTTTTGCACGGTTTATAAATCACTATACCATAGTGATTTTTGTTTCTTAGGATTAAGAATAGCTCTCCCTTTGAGGAGAGTTCCAGTTTTTCATTGTCATAGTTCTTGTCAGCCCCATTTTATTGGTTCATATGTCACTAAAGTGTAGAAATACCAGCATATGAAAAATATTATATTTCAGCTCATTACTATAAAATTATGCACAGAATTGTTCAAGAGTGTACTAGTAACCTTTCATTGTATCCCTGATATCATGTTTATTTGCATTATGGTGAGAAAGATGTGCGTCTCTTGTACTATAGTCACAGCAGAAAACTATGAGTGTCCCTTATCATTTACGAGTATTTCTTAATATAGGGACGTGCCATAGCTCAAGCGGTTAGTCGCTGGCTTCCCACCGCAGCAGCCCGGGTTCGATCCCGTGTCTGGTCAAGTGGGATTTGTGATGGACAAAGTGGCACTGGGGCAGGTTTTCTCCCAGTACTTCGGTTTCCCCTGCCGGTCTTCATTCCACCAATTGCTCCACAATCACCCTCACCTATCATCTGGGGCTGATACAATAGGCCAGAAATGGCCACAGTACAAGGGACTTAGTCCCACCCCACTAACAATAAGAAAAATATCGTAATACTGACTGTAATGTTTTGGTTTGCCACCAGCAATTGAATTACTTTCATAAAGAAGAGAAAAAGATGGTAATGATTGTAGCGTCTTTGTTCTTATTGGTTGCTTCTTGTATCCACAGTCCATTGAGATCTCCAGTGAAAGAATAGACACCACCAAAACTTCAAGGATATTTGTGGTCTTGACCATACGTATCTTGTTTACCACACACATTGCTTTTATTTCCTGCTGCAACAGTGTCTTCAAGCTTGATTTCAGTATAAAGTGAGGTGGAGGCAGCAGGTACTGCAAAATATAAGCAACTAACTACTTACAGAACTACAGATGTAGTTCACTGCCCTGAAAATCTTGGGTCTCATAATATTAAATTTTTTCTGTGCAGATTTTATTTTGGTATGTATACATAATTCCATATTGAATTTTGTAATATTTCCATAAAGTTTCCCATACAAAAAAGTACATGACATTAAATGTAGGCCTCTTTTAATATGTTAAAATTTATTTTAAACATTTTTCAGTATAGTGAATATTTAACCCTTTATCTGCCAAGACTCACCATAGAACTACATGCTAAAAACACAAGGGATATTTGGAGATAAATTTCATTGCACAGAAAAACCCATAATACTGTGACATGAGAACTTAAAGCCAGGATAATGGAACAATGAGAGGCGGCGATTGCTAGGCAGTGGTGCGGTAAACACGTTTCAACCAGAGTGAGTCTGTGCAGCAGTAGAGGAACTGTTGGAACCGATGTTTTCTGTGCAGTTCGCGCTGAAGCTGTATATCAAGGATGAACAGGAAACATTAGCTATAGGTCGGAGTCAGCTGTTAGTAGTCATGCATTGCAAGTGAGCAGTGGCAGTTTGTGTCTGGCTGTGAGGATTAGTGATGACAGAATAACAGTAGACTTCATGTGTGCTGTAGTTGATTGTAGTGATTTATAGTGTGAACAGATTAGTGAAAGTGTTATAATTAGTTGTAGTTACAATTTGTAAGCATTCAGTAAATACAATTATCAGTTCAAAGCCTGTGTCTAGTAACTAACACATGACAGTGCTTCATGAGGTTACCTTCAAATGACCATAGATGTAGATAGCACAAATACTGTTCTTTCCTCAGAACCGTAGTATATAGCACTTAATGACATCTGTTGACAGAAATGCTGTACTGAGTGTTTAACATTGAGCTGTTCTCTTCATCTTTGGAAATTTTAATTTAAGTATGTCAAGTCCATCTAATGGCGCATATCATGCAAGAGGTTAATAAAATGGGTAGAAAAATCATTTCTTGAGCAATTTTCCACATGCAGATAGTACTGGCACAAGTAATTTTGTCACTGTTGGAGTGTTTCCAGAGCTGCCAGTTTGAAAGACAAGTTTCAGGTTAGAATACAGCATTGGCTTAAGTAGACACAGCTGTTAGTGTAGTGGTTCAAGTATTGGCTGCAGAAATGCGAGACTTGTTGCTGGAAAAGGAACATAAGCACCATTGATGTGTATGGGGGTGGACAGCAAGGGACGGTAACTTGGTGTGTCCAGGAAAGTACCAAGCGTTCTTGCACATATAGGCAAGGAATTATTTTTACTCACCTGAGAATGACACTCAGTGGGGGGAGAAGAGGAATGCATGTAGGATAATTGTGGGAAAGAGTCCACTAGGAAGACCAAGACATAGGTGGGTGGACAATATTTACCAAAATTTTCAGAAGATACCGTCTGTTTTGTTTTTTAATATTGCTATGTAGTCTCAGAGAATTTGTTGCTTTCATACCAGCTTGTGATCTCTCTGTCAGCAGCAAAACCTCTTTCCAAATGCACTTCGGGACAAAATTAAAAAACAAATTAATCTCTTGATCATTTGAATGAGGTGCTTTGCTTAGTATGAAAGATATGCATTTCTACACCCCCACTTGTTCAATTGCTAACCCATCATCTCTAGTGTAAGATTCACATAATGCCTCAAACATAAAAGGATAAAGGAAAAAAGTTGAAGTTCCTGTAAATAAGATCTAAAAGTCTGTGACGACGGTACATTAGTACAAGTATTATGTTTTTGCACATTATCCATCATCCTCTCTTTATCTAAAAGGACCGTCCTGTTTATTTTTCAAAACACACCATTTTGGAGACCGGGTTCTGTCTCCGTCATCAGGTAAAACCTATGCCTTGAAGATGTGGCAGGGTAGATGTATAGCTCCACCAAACTTTACATTGACACTACATGGAGGTGAGTTCTGCTGTTCCCTGCTTGGATTACTCTTTGACCCTGAAGATGGAAGCAGTATGTTCCTCCAAAGGATTGTGCCATCTCCTCACTACATAATGTTACAATGCAGAAAACCTTGACCTTTGTAGTCACCACCTTGACAACCTCTAGTCCAACATATTTTGTGTTTTTATAAAGTTTGCTTCTTTGATCCCAGAACCAAGGGTTGCTGTTTGTTTAGTTCTTTTTTTCTTTCTTTCTTTCTTTCTTTCTTTTTATTTTTTTTTCTTTCTTTCTTTCTTTCTTTCTTTTTTTTTTTCTTTGNCATACTGTGTATTCTGCTGAAAGTCAACTGACACTTCAGAGGAACATATCGCCTCTATCTTCAGGGTCAACAAATAAGCTCTGCTTGCCACCTGCTTTCACACAGGTATCTTGCTTGGCTCAGTCTGCAACCCTGAAGATAGAGGTGATATGTTCCTCCACAATGTCAGCTGACTTTCAAAGGACTACATGGCATTACATCCCAGAAATTAGTACCCTTCAAATATTTGCATGTTTGCAGGTTCTTCGTCTGTTCACATCACAGGGTCCCATGCAGCTGCAGCAGATACAGACCCCATCAGGCCCAACATTTATAGCTGTTCCGTCTAGCCAGACACTGAGCTTCCAACAACTAGGCCCCCAAGGCCCTCCACCTCCTGCAGTCCCTTCACAACAGCCACAGATTCCACCTCAGCCATCATCGGGAACCCGGTCATCTGCACCACAGCAGCCATCCTCAGGCTCTCAGCAACCTGCCACGCCCATTATACCAACTGTTCAGCTGCACCAGGGTAACATGCGACCTTCACCTAATGTTGGTGTTCCTACATCTCGAACTGGCTGCACTCCTCAGCAAAGTGTCTCTGCTGTTATTGGTGGACATACCATAGCTCTTAATGCCAACAGTAGTACTACTTCTTCCATTATTCACCAGAATCACCCTCAGGTACAAGCACTCGAAAAATTTGAGTCAATTATAGCTATACTGACAATATTAGGTATATTATGAAATGTAACAGCATATTCCTGGTACTATAGAAATGTGTGCTATACAGCCCATGAGGATTAAAATTTTTTAAATACAAAGACATGTTATGAATGTGAAGATATGAGGTCTATTCAGAAAGTAACCTCCGTCTATTTTAGGCAATTGATGTAGGAGTGGGGGAGAGCTCACTCATACAAGGTAGCGTCACATAACTCATTGCCTTGTAAACCATCACATAACTGGCCACCTAGCATTTGTTCTTGTCTCTACAGAGTGAGTTACTATGTGTCCTGCAATTGATAATCCTTCCAGTTGCAAATTTTGCACTGTTATCTGCTTTCCTCACCCTAGAAACATGGATGCTCTGGAAATCTGTCTTGAATCGTGCACAGTTTATAGTCAGTGTGATGACTGAAGGGACTGTAAGAAGATGGTGTAGAATGTTCAGAGACAGGCGAACAAATGTTCATGATGAAGAGCAAAGTGGTCAGCCATGTGGAATGAGTGATGATATTCAAAGTGTTGACCAAAAATTTGTGAAAGATGGCGCTTCTCATTTTCAGAACTTCCGTGTGAATTTCACAAATTTCATGCACTGTTCTCTACAAGATTATCACAAGCTAGGCAATCACAAGTCATGTGCAAGATGGGTTCCAAAAATGCTCACAGATGTGCACATAATGTGGAGAATGGCTTTGGCTTTGACTTTTTTTTAGAGCGACACAAAAGTGGCAACGAATTTTTACATCATACAAGTAACTGGTGATGAAACCTGGGTTTAATTTGTAAATGTTGAAATCAAAGAACGGTCAAAGTAGTGGATGCACACAGATTCACCAAACAAGCCAAAAATGTTTAAGCAAATGAAGAAAGCAGTCTTCTGGGATTTGGCACCGTGTATATGTGGTGCCAAATCCCAGAAGACTGCTTTCTTCATAGTCACCGCCGTGAAAGCCTCAAATCTTACATGTTTAAGCAAATGTCTGCCAGAAAGCTAATGGATGACAGCTGTTTTCTGGGATAGGAAAGGAGTGTTGATGGTGGAATTCATGCAACACAGTGCCACAGTAATATCAAAAGTGTGTTGTAAAACACTCAAAAACCTGCATAGTTCCATTCAGAGCAAAAGGCATGGAACATCCAGTATAGTGTTCATCTTCACACAGCTGCTCAAACTCAAGCACTGCTGGAACATTTCAAGTGGGAGTTGTTTGACCACCCTCCTTACAGTCCTGATCTCACTCTGAGTGACTACCACCTGTTTACTTGTACCTACCTGAAGAACTGATTGGGATGACAACACGTCAGCAGTAATGAGGAGTTGTTGGAAGATGTCAAAATGTGGCTGAGCTCACAGGCAGCAAACTTCTTTGACACCGGCATACAAAAACATATTCCTCGATATGACATTTACCTCAGTTTGGTTGGTGACATATTTTTTGTATATAATATTTTTTTTAACGTTGTTGTTTTGTTAACAGCTCACCAGAGTTACTTTCCAAATAGTCCTCATATACAATAAATGGAAAGGGAGTTTGAGAAAACCAATGAGAGATATAAAATATGATTCAAAGTGCTCCACCACATTAGTAGCATAAATGCACTGTACAGAAGCATAATATTTGATGGACAAACATTAAAAGTTGACAAGTGTGTAACATAGCAAGTAGGAATATGAAGACTAACTTTCTCCAAGAGGGCAGGCAGTATTTCTGGCCATGGTAAACTTTAATCAAAAGGAAGTGCATGACGATGATAATGGTGGTGGTGACGACGACGACGACAAGGATGACAGTGATGACGATGACAACGATGATCATGATCAGTGGGTAAATCCCATATTTTGCCTCATTAGTTCATTTTTCACATTGTTTTCACTTTACACAAATCTGTCTAGTTCTTCTCTAGAACACTAGGATTGAATGTAAATTGGTTTGCTGCCAGAGTGCTTATTTAATAGAAGTGTGTTTTCTATTTTCAGGTTTCTAAGTCCAGTAATTTTAGTAAATAAATAATTTACGTAGTAAATAGTGTTCTGGAAAACCTGTGTATTTCTTGTATAGCATTATTAAATTATAGTTCTTGAAACTTTTCATGATTTCAGTTAACATATTTCATAGATAACTTTACATGAATCCACAAATCTCATCAGGCATTTTAATTTTTGCATATGGACCAGGTACAGCCACCAGTGAGTGGAGTGGTACCACAGTCACAGCAAGATGTAACACCCTCACAACAGAATGTCACCTTTCCTATCATGCGTCATAACACACCAGTGCTGCAGACACAGCAACATCAGTGTACAGGTACCAACACAGAGACATCCATCTTAGCTCTCTCACAGAAGAGGAAGACAAAGAAGAAAAAGAAGAAGAAGAAAGATGAAGAACCAAAGCTGGATCTTGCCAACATCATGAAACTATCAGGTGAGTGCAGTGTGGGCAGGGTTTCTGTTTATTCCTATCTTTTATGTTATTGTGTTACAACAGTAAATAACACAAATTGTTATAAGCAGTGTAGTGAGGTCTTGTAGGTTATAACACTTAGTTATTACCCTGAAGGTGAGGTAGTATGATCCTCCAAAATTTTGGTACTCACCTACCAGACTACAATATAGAGTTATAACCCACAGGTCTGCAGTGTGAACCATCACTGCTCTGAAAACCTCATCTCTTATGTATCAATATAGTATATATGTTCTAAGCTTCACAGAACATGGGTTATTAAGTTGTTCATTTAAATTTCTGTAATAGACGTTTTCTTGAACTGTTACACTTCATAAGATATGAATAAGGAGTAAGTTCTGTCGAATGTAACAGTTTTTGATATGAATAAAACCTTTACATGTTTTGACTGGTATCGGACATTATGATCAGAAGGTGACCAACACTTAAAGGAAATGCATATCATGCTTGTGAAGTATTTCCTTCAAAGTGCTCCTCACTGTCTGATGATGGCCAATACCAGCTGAAACATGTAAAAGTTTTATTCGTGTTAAAAATTGTTACACTCAACAGAACATACTCTTTTTTCATATTGATGATCTAAAGATTTTGAAGGCCAGTTTCTGAAGACTTAACGGGTTCTCACACAGATGTATCATTATGATATAAAATTTTATCTTTGCTCAGATTAGTATGCATTGAAAATGATACTGAAAGTAGTCTTCAACACCATTCAGGATTTGCACTTGTAAATAACATATCTTAGCGTGCAAATGATACCGATTATGGTCACCGCTGAAACATGTGCCCAACTTGAGATGTGCACTATTCATTGCCTTGAATACATTCCTTTGTGGTCAGAAGGGATAGATAATGTACACTGTTTAATTTTTCTGTTGGTCTATAATAAGATTGTGTAAAATAAGCAGTTGAGGTAGCAACAGATAATATTCAGATGTTTGAGAATTCCATTTTGTCTAATATAAATAATGATTTTTCATGCCAAACCCAACTGTGAAATAAATGCACTTTTACCTAGTATGTGATGATTAAATAGACATTCGTGTAACTCAAGTGGTTAGATGCTGGATTCTCACTGTGAAGGCATAGATTGAGGCCTGGGTGTTGATGTTTCATTGGTGCAGGATTTTCACTTATTGTCTTTGGTTTTCCCCAACTAATCATCATTTCAGCATACTTATCTTTGGCTACCCCCTGATGTGGGCGGTGGCTCTGTTCAGGCAGCAAGCACATTATCACATTCTTGGTCTTGTAATATTGGGGGTTTATCTCTGACCTGGAATTTGTCTGGTTTTGGGCTAAAGTTCTTTTATATAGTGGTAAAAGACTTCCAGAATACAGTTAAAACCATGGATAATGTGAACACCAACATATCACTAGTAGTTACTTTCCATATTTTCATTAGTCTTTGTATAATAGAAACACTTGGCTTGATAAACCATCACACTTATTGTGCTCTGTTCCATTATTTTATAAATTTTAAATTAAATAATTATGATTCAGAAACATTTTGTGTGTTCTGTGTAAGTCTAAATCCAAATCCAACATTTACCTTTGTATGTTAAATATAGAAACACAGGGCTGTACACAGGATAGATTAGCATTTTGAGCACATAAATTTGGTGGTTATTTCCGCAAGTGCCAAGTGCAAATGTGCCGGCACTCTGTTTTCAGCATGTTATTAAATTGGCGTGTGGGCATAGTCTTTCTCTTGAGGTAGATTGAAAGTGAGGCTTTCACTCATTTGCAGCAAATTATGAAGTGAAGTCAGTTGGCATTTTTGGTGACTTGCTTTCATACTGTAGGGTTATTGACTGATGTAGGTATTCAATATAGTTCTATCCAGAAAGTGCAAAAGAAGAACTTCCACTTCCATGTTTTCTGTTTAATTGAATATTTATTGCCACTCTGTCCCCTTAGTAACTTAGCCCTTATGCTAAGTGTAATCTTCAGTGTTGGCAGGTTCTTAAGCCTACCAGCATTTATCACAGAAGTTGTCTGCTGATAATGATAGATGCATATTTGGCAATATGTGTACATTTTGCTTGCTTTGCAAATCTTTGTCAAAGTATCACTTACCCGTATATGCATGCTATGCTATTTCAGTTTTAGTGTCTTACTGTCAAGGCTGCGCTGCATGCCTTTGTGTTTATGCCCATAGGCTACTCCTCTCATACTGAGGCTTTATACTGTCACACGTGTAACCAGTCATGTTGTAAACCTTAATACCAAGGCTTTTATGTTCCTTAGGAACATGATGGCCGAAGAAATACAACTATTTTGTGAATCATAATAACTTCATTGACAGCTGAATATTGAGATGAATTGTATAATTTCGAAAATCTCCCTTAGTGTGATTGAGTCCTATATGGTTGGTTACAATTTAGAAATCTCAATTTTTTTCTCTCTCCTTTATTGACAATCAGACTGTATAATCTATAAGTCAATGTGCTGACTGGTGCACAATTTAATAACTATTTATTGTACACTCTTCTGGCGTGTGAGGAATAAACATCCAGTGATGTTTTCCTCAGTTCGTTAGATCTGATGGCCAACTTCTTTTGAGTCTACGATTTTCATGAAGTTCTAGTAGTGGTTAAAGAAGTGGGTTGGAGTGATTTTCTAGTTTGTTGAAGTACTCGGTGCTGTTTTCTCAGATGGCTTCTGTTACGTAAGGAAGTTTTAGACCTGTATGTAGGGCGTGGTTGGATACATACCATGGTGCATTCGTGATGGTTCAGAGTATTTTGGACTGGGCATGCTGTGTAATGGTGATGTTGGATTTGCTGGCGCAGCCCCAGAGTTCTATGTCATACGTCCATTTAGGCTTGATGACTGTTTTGTAGATTAGTAACTTGTTTCCGATGGAGAGGTGTGATTTTCTTCCTATGAGCCAGTTGAGTTGTTTGGTTTTTTGGTCCATCTGTTTTCTTTTCTTGATTATGTGTTGTCTCCAGTTTAGTTTGTTGTCAAAGATTAATCCTAGGTATTTGACCTGTTCTTTTGGTTGTATGTTGATGTGATTTATAGGCACTATGGGGCAAGTGCCTTTTCAGAAGGTGAAAGTTGTTTCTGTGGACTTTCATTCTTTAACCTTGATTTTCCATTTGTTTAGCCATGCTTCTATGAGGATTAGATGATCTTGTAAATGAGAGGAGGCTGTGGTTGGATTGTCATGGGTAGCAAAGATAGCAGTGTCATCTGCAAAAGTTCCTGTTATCATTTCTTTTGTTGTGGGTAGATCATGTGTGTAGAGAGTGTATAGTAGTGGACTTAGTAAGCTTCCTTGGGGCACCCCTGAGTGGATTGGCAGGCGATTGGGTATTTCCTCATTTATTTTGAGTTCAAAAAATCTATTGCTTAAATATGACTTCAGTAGGTTGTAATAATTTGTTGGGAAGGTTCTTTTTATTTTGTAAAGTAAGCCAGAATGCCAGACTTTGTCAAAAGCCTGGGCTCTATCTAGAAATGCTGCTGTGCACTATTGTTTGTTATTTAGCATGTTTGTTATGGTATTTGCTATGCGATGGCATTGTTGGATGGTTGAGTGAGCTCATCGAAAGCCAAACTGATGGTTTGGTATCCATGTTTGTTGGTTTGATTCTTGGTTTATTTTGTTGAGTACTAGTTTTTCAAGGACTTTTGAAATTGTAGGTAGAAGGCTTATTGGTCGGTAGGATGTGACGTCAGTTGGATTTTTGCATGGTTTCAAGACCATTACGATTTAGGCGCTTTTGAGCAGATGAGGCCAATAGTCCAGTCTAAGTATGGTGTTGAATATGTATAGAAGTTTTATTTGGCCTTTCCTTGGTCAATGGTTTAGTATTATGGCTGTGATGTTATCATGGCCTGGTGCCTTTTTTGGCTTTAGAGTGTTTATTACAAATGTTTTGACTTTGATGGAAGTGGCTTGTATGTGATGTTTTTCATATTATGACATGTTGCACAATTNAGGAGAACCCCCCCCACCAGCAGTGACGCGGCGGGTGAGTCAGCGCTCTGTCATCCCCCCTCCCCACAGTGACGTAACGCGCAACGCGCGGTGACGTAAGACGGCATGAGGTAACAGCGTTGCTACGTAACAGGCACACACAGCCACTATATAAGAGAGCTGCGCTGCCTGCGAGGTGAGTTGAAATGTGGCCATCGCCGAGTTCAGTAGTAGTCGAGCCAGTGTGTTATCAAGAGTTCTCAAGGCAGCAGCCTGCGAGTTGAGTTGGAATATAGCAGCCATCGTGGAAGAAGAACCGGACGTGTGTGTAACACAGGGACACTTACATAGCTCCCCTACTCTAAAAGTGTAGACTACTGAAGACAGAGTGAACTGATTTGCGAATAGGGTTATAAATCGTGAAACCCCGCAACAGTGCTAACAGATTATTGCGAATAGGGTTATAAAGTGTGAAACCCTGTCACTGTGTGATAATTAATTGTAGCCGTTACTTGTAGGTTGTTGAATAAACCAATTAACAATCCGAACAGCGTCTTCAGTGGCGAAACACGTTACAATATTTTGGTAGTTCATAATGTTTGATTTTTTCTTTGAGCTGTGTCACCGAGGTGGTTTGTGTGGTAAAGCTTGTATTTGGGGATATTGAAGTAGCTTCTGCTGGTGAAGTGGGTTTAGCTGATTAGCAGGATGTTGATTGAGTTTATGTTTAGAAATATTTTTATATCTTCTTGATGATTTGGAAGTCCATTGGCATTCCATTGGGCTGTTCTTAGGAATTTAGCCATTTATTTCGTTTTGTTAACAAGTGATGTTAGCATGTTTAGTACCATAGTATTGTGTTGTAATAATTGTTGAATTAAATATTTTAATTTATCTAGGAATTTTGCTAGTATGTTAGTTGTTTCTTCTGTTTGGGTTAAATTTCGCTTTGTGATTTCTGCATAGCGTTTGGGTTGGGTTATTTCTAGAGGTTGTATATTTCTCGTGTAGGATTCGTTTGTGTAGTTTGCTGGAGTGGAGGGTCTTTGGGAAAACTTCTGCTTGTACCTTTGGTCAGCTTACGAAAGTGTTCACATCCTCTGTAGTTTGAAGGGTGATTTCCTCTGCATGGTGCGCATCTGGCTGGTGTTTCTCTTGTCTTCTTGCAGTCTGTCGTATTGTGTGAGCCGCCACATTTGACACAAGCATATGGCTTATTGCAGTATGTTTTTGTATGGCCATACTGTTGACATCATGTACATTGGCTTATATTTGTTTTGTTTGAGTGGTGGGGGTTCTATTTTTACTATTCTATTTTGGAGTCCTGTTATTTTGTAGATCTTTTAGTTATTTTGTGCTGGTTCTAGGTCTACAAAGAATAGGTTCAATGGCTCTTTAGTAGCTTTATGATGTACGTTGATTATATTTCTGACTCTCTGTCCTAGTTCGGCTAGTTCTTATTTTGTGTCTTCTATTTTTATTGTGTGATGAAGGTATCTTATTACTATTCTATATGCTCGTTCTTCTTTCAGTTGATAAGTGTGGTGGTATAATTTTGTTCGTTGAATTCTCTGATCATCTTTTGTAGGTTTCTGGTGTTTCACAGTTTATTTTTACAATGTTGTTTGCTAGACTTTTGGTGAAGTATTGTTCTTGTTCGGCTATTTTTTGGATTTGTTTTATCATTTCGGAGTAATTTTGTTCCCCATGAACAAATATTGGCGACGGTTTAGGTATTTTTGGTGTTATGGTGATTTCATTGCTTGAGGTACCTGGTTGTTGAGATAGTGGTTCATATCGGTTGTTGGTTTCTATGTTACTTGTGGTGATTTTTTGTTGATTGGAGGTTTTTTCTCTTGGTGCTTCGGACTGTTTCCCATTTGTTGTTGTTATTTTTCTGTGTTTCTTCTTCCTCTTCTTCGCTAGATGAGGTCATTTTTTGTATGTGTTGACCTCTATCTTTGTTGTTTATGTAATTCATGTTGGGTGGTTGCATTTGTTTTTGTACTGGTGTTGCGTAGTAGTTGGGGGGGCAGTTGCCACTGTGTCGCTTGGATTTATGGTGGTATCACAGTTGGTGAAAAAGAGTATGTTAGTGGGTTCATGGTTGGCCAGTGTATGTTGGTTGGGTTATGATTTTGTTGATTGCTGACCCTATTGATTTATTCTGGTGTGATTTCTGCAGGGTGCACCATTGTAGTTGTGGATTGTTTACATTACTGTCATGCCTGTTGGTTTGAGGTTCCTGTTCTTGGTTGATTTGCACTGTTTATCACTATTTGTCACTTCTTTCTTTCTCTCTATCTCTCTCTCTCTTATTTTTTGTTTGCTAGGTAGTTCACTCGTAGAGCCGGTTCTCAATGCGTGCTTACGATACAAAGCCCAGACAAGTAATCCATCTCAAAATATGAAAAATTAGTTTTATTTCAACATGTTACTATAAAATTGTTCCTGGAAAGTTTAAAAAGTGGACTATAAATTTTTCAATGTGTCCCTGACTTCATGTTAAATTTATGTTATACCCAATACAAGGCATGCACCTCCATCTGGTATAGTGACATCATGCTTGACATTCAGATATTTGGTACCTTGAAATCACATATGTTGTCCTTACATCATACTACATTGTAACTAATTCCATGAACTTGCTCACTGTTTCTCCTAATGATCTCCACGTATCCAAGAAATTTCAGAAGATTGCTATATACACCATCTAGTGTCAGAGGAAAGAACTGTGTGCTCAAACTGCAGTCTGAAAGAGAGCAGTTTGTGTTGTCAGAGCGTGGTACTGTCCACATTTGGTCAGATATGGTAAACTGGCAGAGCACCAATAAATGAGCTTCAGATAAGGGAACAGAAGTGTTAAGGTTGACTGCTTTTTGCGCACTTGGAAAACTATGTACCGGCCATATATAGTTTGAATTATTCAAATTAGAGATTAACTGGTTTTTTAATTGCATTAAAATGCAAATAAAGTTGTGTCTTCTCAGAGAGCGATTGACGGTTAGTTTCCATTATACATGATTTTGAATTATCTGCTGTTTAATTAACAAGGTTTTGCTGTATTCTTCTATAATTGCTATGATCTCGGTAATTGAATTGCTGCCGTGTTGGTCTCCCATTAAGATTATGCATAATTTTTCCCTGTGTTTATACTGTCTGCTCAGTGCATCTGCACTGATACTGCTTCAGTAATTCTTGTGAAGCAGGTGAAGAGAATGAGAATTCTTTGCCATGAAATTTCCTCCCCTCTCCATTTCATTTTACTGTAATTATTATTAAAAACATCTTTTGACCATTATTTTCAATTTCAAATTTTCATGTATGATGGAAATGGAGGAAAACCGGTTCTCATATGTTCCACCATGCATTGTGTACCATCCTTTACTTTTGAATTCACATTTGGGGAGCTGTCAAGTTTTTTTGTGGGTGTGCCATATTGATATTTCTATTTGTGTTTTCTGGATGTCCGGTGAAACTCCAACTGGCACATGTTAGTGGGTACTTCTCCAAGTAATGTGCTCATTGAAAATCCTCAAAATAGAATGAAATAGCTGAATGTGGAGCACACTTTGAAGCTAAAACTAAATTTCAGAGAGCCTTTTGTTCATATTCAAGCATTTATTGTGGCACATTTCCACTGCTTGTGTGTCTGTTCCCTACCTTATTAGCAAGTTATCTTGGATTTATTTGGTTGTCCTTTGTGCTTTATACCCCACTAAAGTATCCAGGTAATCCTATTGAATCCATTATCTTAATGAAGCAATCATTGTGGTTTTTGTCCTTTTTATCCTGCCTTTGGACATCATTTGGGTGTTATACATAGATGTGACTTGTAAGAAATTAGTTTGCTGTACACCTACATCTGATGATTATGATTGTACTGTTTTGTATATTATCCTCCTAGCAAGCTCAATGAAGTGCTTTGTTATTATGAAGTCCCTATTAGAGACTGGGCTTGTGATGAAACAGTGTGAGGTATTGTGCTTTTCAGGCATTGGAGATGATGAGGACCTAGCTCTGTATGATGCAGAGGAACCAACGATAGCTCCCACCAGTCAGAGTCCTGCTCCTTCAGAGATAAACACACAGCAGTCTCCAGTGAGTCAGACGCAGGCTGCGCAGCAGCAGTCTCAGCTCATAGCACAGCTCCGATCCCCTCCCCAGATTCCGCTTCAGGTAGTAATAAGTATTTCTTACATATACGAAAAATGTGTTGATACCCTAAGAAAATCTAATTCTTCTGTATTAGTATCTTACTGAACTTTTAGTGAGGGTACAGTGGGATTGAGTTTGGCAGGGCAAGTAATTGGAGAGGATGGAAACTTCAATATGTGCTACATTGCACTTTTATGTGGAAGGAGAATGGGTCCATTTCTGATCCAGGGATAGAGCTCAGTTAAATCTGATGAGCCAAAATCATGACAGAGGCTTTTGAGATAATGTATGATGCTCACCACCAGTGGCCACTCCATTTAAGGATGTCCCCATATACATGTGATTTAAACGCTATAGAGTGGTTGAGCACGTTGGCTCAAGCACTGACACTTCACTCAGGCCACGCCATAGCTCAGGCGGTTAGTCGCTGGCTTCCCCAGTCTGGTCTAGTGGGATCTGTGGTGGACAAAGTGGCGCTGGGGCAAATTTTCTCCGAGTACTTCAGTTTCCCCTGCCAATCTTCATTCCACCAATTGCTCCACAATCACCCTCACCTATCATCTGGGGCTGGTACAGTAGGCCAGAAGTGGCTGCAGTACAAGGGACTTGGTCCCACCCCACTAGTAATAATAAAAAAATCGCTTCACACTTCTATTTGGGATGTGTCTATGCTTCTAATGTGTATTTGGGGTGTGTTTGTGCTTCTGAGTTCATTTGGTATGTGTCTATGCTTCTGACTTGTGTTTGGAACATTTCTGATTTGAGTCTTGGCTGGGACACCAACTATCCTGACTGAGATTTGCCATGGCTTTTCAGTTCCTCAGAGGAAATTCCAGAATAGTGCCTCAAATAAGCCATGACCACATCCATCCATTATTCAGTAATCCTGTCATTCAGTACTATAGTCTGAGTTACTGACAGCACTGTTAACCCTTCAAGCCTGTCCATCATTAAATGTATGTCCACAGAGCCTCACATGATGCCACCAAACATATGCAGGATTACTGCAGATATACAGCTTCAGGTAATTACGCTGGGCAATAAAAAAGAAGTTTATCACATGCACAAAAAGATATGGATCTTGTTTGTTTTTTAATGCTGAGTTCAAAAATGACATCAGAAATGAAATTTAGTCAAATTTACAGGTGCAGTAACTATACCAAAATACAAATTGGATATTGAAACTCAACTAAATCGTAACTGATGATTTATACTTGCGTTTTTCATGTGGGGCATCCCTTCTCAGTGTTGAGCATTAGGCATCCAGTATGTTATTGTTCCATTTTCCTTGGTATGTTGTCACCATTATGGACATTTATTGGTGAACAACTCCCCATGCACTACACTATATGTACCCAAGTTTATTAGTAAATGTCAAGATTTTAGCCCAGAAAATTAATTTTAATCACATTTTGCGTCCCATGACTTTGTAGGCATTGAGAAGTTCTTCAGTAAGTCACTCGTAACTTTCTGCCATGAAGTTCCTGAAGATATTTGTGATTACTACTTTAAATGTTCTCCAAGTGCTCCTTCACTTAAAATTACGTGGTGCAATCCAAAAGTTCCCGAAATATATTGTCGCGTATCGGGTGTATATCGCGACAAATAAATTCTCGATGTATTCGATGTAGCGAATTTTATTTCACATTCGCACTTACAGTCACCCAAATTACAGATTTACGGTTACTGCTATCTGCAGTATCACAATTAGTACACTCCAAATGCCACAATACAACTGACTGGCTGACTTTACGTCTTGACTCGGCGACTGTTACTTTATAATTGACTGTGAATAGCCTTCGCTGCGCCTCATGTAGCCTCGATCGGACCATACGGAAAACGGCCGCGTAATAGGCACCCTCTTTGCCTGGCGCTGTGTTGCTATGTAACGCTAGCGGAGGTAACCGCTGTTACTATCGTAACGTCGCCGCTGTTGACTCGCGTTGCCTAGCAACCGCGATATTCCTCGGTGACGTCACCGCGGAGGGGAGTGGCGGGGCGGGAACTCGCCTATTACCGTAAGAACGCGAGCGTTACGTTACCGCCACGTACCGCTGGGGAGGTAGGGGTCAACATGTCACANAAGTCGCATGGAGCTAAGTCTGGCGAGTACGGTGGGTGGGGAACAACTGCCATCTTGTTTTTAGCCAAAAATTCCTGCACAATGTAAGCCATATGCGGTCATGTGTTGTCATGCTGTAGTACCCAGTCGTTCGTGCGCCACTTCAATGGACGTTTTCTTCTCATGTCCTCCCTCAAACGCCTTAGAACATGGCGATAGAACTCTTTATTGACTGTCTGACCAGGAGGGACAAACTCCTTATGAACAATCCCGTCAATATCAAAAAAACAGATCAATATGGACTTAATGTTGCTCTTTACTTGTCAAGCTTTTTTTAGCTGAGGTGAAGAAGGACTCTTCCATTGCGACAATTGCTGCTTGGTTTCAGGGTCATAGCCATAAACCCAACTTTCGTCACCAGTGACAACCTTCAAAAGAAAGTTTGGATCCTCTTGAAGCTGTTGCTGAAGTTGACTGCAGACTTCCAAGCGATGCTGCTTCTGTTCATTTTGCAGCAGTCGTGGCACAAACTTCTCCACAATCCTCCTCATGTTAAGTTCCTCTGACAAAATTCGTTGACATGTACCATAACTTAGTCCCAAGGTTTTACAGAGGTCTTGGATGGTCAGTCTACGATCTTGCAGAATCAGATCCCTAACTTTCCTGACATTTTCTGGTGTTTTGCCCGTTGATGGCCATCCCGAACGATCGTCATCAGTCAGTGTTCAGCCATTTTTAAAATGCTTATACCAGTTGTAAGTTTAGTCTGGCCTAAACTGTTTTCAACATTTGGTGCGTTTCTGCAGCGATTTTCCCAGATTTGAAACAAAACTTTATACAGACATGCTGCTGTCTCAAGTCAGCCATCGCAAAACCGCAAACTCATGGAGACACAACAATGGAAATACGTTCACCAACAATAAACCCAACCACTCAACTCGACACCGCTTGCCACACTCATTCAGCAAGGATGTTTGAGGAGACACCTAGCGGTATTTCGATGTTCTCATAACCATTCACGCACAAAATTCAAATTTCGGTAACTTTTGGATTGCGCCACGTACATCAGATGTATCATCAGTCATGATTTCCTTCTCTGCTTTTGGCCCTTCTGGTCCTTGAGAATTGCAGTTGGAAGTAGAAAACCCCGGTGCCGTTTTGATCCCTAGCCTTAACAGAAGTTTTCATTAAATCAAGTAGTGGCAGCAGAAGAAAAAAACATGATCAATTAACCAGAGATTGATTAATGACATTTTTTTCTTTAGAATCAGTGACCTGTAGAATTTGAGGTTCTCACAGTGGCGGTTATGAAGATACTATCTTCTGGGATATAACACCTTGTAGTCCATTGAACATCAGGCTGTGTTTCAGAGGTACATATCTCCTCCATCTTCAAGATCAAAGAATAAGCTAAGCAAGAAATCGGCATGGAAGCAGGTGGCAAGCTGATCAGTTGACTAGCTGGAATTTCAGATTATATAGTGAGCAGGCACATCATCAAGTTGTGGGCCCACCTTCAAGGAAAGTATCAGTTTCCCTTCAGTGGATCAGTAATGACCTGGGGCCGAAGCCAGCATAATTATATTGCATAACCTGTGAATGTGGTCAGGTCTCTGTTGGGCCCATAGACCGTTCAACTCTAAAGATTGAGGTGATGTGTTCCTCCAAAACGTTGGTTGACTTACAGCGGACTACATTGTTATTATGTCCCAGAAGATAATACTCTTCAAAGTGAATAATGACTTTCCAGTACTTTCTATCCCATTCACAGGATTCTGTATATTGCAGCTGTAAACCAAGCAGAAATGTGATCGCTATCAAGTTACCATAAATATACCAGGAGCATTTTTAATGTATTGTCATATGATTCCTTCATGTGAATGGAATGGGCTGTTGAAAGTGAAAGGCATTCAGTCCCATAATAGAGCAACACAGCTTAGTTTATATTCCTTCCTGTCCTGAATTTGACATTTTGGTTTTGTCACATTCTTATGAATTTTGGTTTGTCACATTCTTATGAAATGAAGTGTAATGATATAAGTGAATATATTCACCAAATTTGTTAATATTGTCGCGTGTCTTGCGTATATCGCGACAATTAAATTCTCGATGTATTCGGTGTAGCGAANTAATGGGTTTTGGTGCATATAAGGTAACAAGTTTTGTCACATATCCAAAGTCTGTATGTTGAAAGTTCCAGTGTGTAATTCTATTTCTGCCCTTGTTTCACTAGTATGTAGTTCAGATGTGAACTGAACTATCTATCATGACTCGGGTTTTGATTCTTTCTCCCAGCAGACAGGTGATGGTATTGGGTTTTAACACAGGCCACAACTGTGCCCACCCCTCCCCCGACATTGTCCCCAGCTTTCTATATGGTATTGTCAGTAGCAGCAGCAAAGCAGACCTTTTTGAGCCCTAGCCTTCCTTACAAGGTTAGACCATCTACTGTTCACTTCATTCATTTTTGCAACAATAATTTCTTTACAGAGCAACATTGTCAGTCTTGCATTCAACCAATGACCTGGAGGACCATGTCCCTGTATTTATGTTCTCCAATGACGGGGTGGCCCAGTTATACCCACAAACATTAGATTTCCTTTTCTTTGTCTTCTGTGACTTACAGGGCTATGATGGAGGTATTCTAAGCCACCTCCACAGGGGGGCAACTTTCCTTTCATAATCACATATTTCCTTCTTACCTAACACCATATGCAGTCTCATTCAGTAAACTACAGAACATAGAACTGAAGCTTAGTGTGTTTATGATCTGCCAAATGACCACAGTAGTGTCTCGACATCCTACATGGTTCCTCTACTAATATGATTAGAGATTAGCCATAGATATCTCCTGTAGATAGTTATGGCTTCTGTAGAGATATTGGCAATGTTGATTGATTTGTGTAACATGCTTGTCGTATTACAGAATGCTACTGGGGGCACTGCTTCACTCAGGCTAGCATTAGAAGATGGTCATGTGGTATTACATCATACTCCATCTGACTCTCAGGTATGTTCCAGCATGGTCTATTGTACCAATATTACATATATATTCTCACCCATCTCTTGTTGATTTGTTCATTCGGATAGTGTTTGGCGAGGATCGCTAATTATGAAGCTACCTGTTATGAAATTTCCTCTTGGTCCTTCTACATTTCCCTCTTAGGTTTGAATATTCTCAGGTGGATTCAGAAGGGTTCTAACGATGGCCTATAACACTCGGGATTACTGGGTCTTTGGACTTCGCCCATTGTCTGGTGTTAATAAAATACTAAAGAACCCAACGTTTGTGAAATTGTTTCTGTCCTTGGGTGAAGGGGGGAGGAGACAACTAGTCTGTTGAGTCCATTAAAAAAGCTATCGACAATCACTGGAAATGTTGTGTTCTTTTTTGTTTTTAAAATACCAGACAGTGGACAGACTCCAAAAACCAAATAATCCTGAATGAATATTCTCCTCAGCACATCTGCTGAAACACATATGCCTGTTCTTCCATTAATGTCAGAAACCATTCTTCATACCCCTACAGAATACTAGTTAAAATTATGGTTTTGTATATTTTATTCTTTATATCATTAGATAGAAAGTGGGAAGACCACAGTCTTTGAACTGATTGGTACCAGGCATTCCCACATTTAATCTGCTCTTAACCTCTTCATGAGTTCAAATATGATTTATTGCTATTGGTCCAAAATATTAGAACTTTATCTATCACATTTTATCAGCTATGCATATGTTGTGGTTTTGCCCTGCATTTTGCCCTGTGGGACATGAACATATTGTCACGTGTATGAGTGACTATAGATGCAGTTTGGATTGGTAATTGATTTTATTGGACTGTTTGGTACAGCACATGGCCACACTTTACAGTTCACTATTATACTCTCTCTCACACACACACGCGTCCACTAGTGTCTATAATCAAGTCTTCGCTACCATTGCTTAATAGTGGCTTCCATTGGCAGACATTCCCTTTGCCATGGGTTCCCCAACTATCTCGAGGCTCAGCTACCAATTTCTCACAGCAATGGCTCACAATAACTGAGCCCCAGTAGTTACCTGACCAACTCACTCACCCTACCGACCAACTACTCTTCACTTCACTGACTGACCTAACTCTGGACTTTTCCTGCTTATAACATCTCGGCATGGACCATGTAGAAAACACCATTCCTCTGTTACATTTATGTCTCTTTGGATGTCCACATGATTGCTACTCAGCCATTGCCTAGCAGCGGCCGTTGTTTACAGAGCCGTTGCCTAGCAACAGGTCTACATGCTGCATTGCTCTCTTCTCAAGGCTCTTCTTCCTGAATAGCCTGTGGGCATACTGCCATTTATTCTTTTCCAAGGGCTGTGCTTCTGACATCTGTGATCAGTCTCACCTTCCTTCCCCATGGCTCGATTCTCACATTTATTACTCTCCAAGTGCTTCTGCTGCCCCCTCCTTAAGGCCCCTCATCGCAAACAGTTCCCTGATAAGGTGCAAGCCAGTCCAAGTGTACTACCATCTTTTCTGAGAGCTATGCTTTGGTCATCTCTTCTTTCATTTTGGAGGGGACTTGCCCCTCCACAATCTTCAGTAACTTACTTTCTGCCACTCCTTTCAAAGACTTGACTTCGCTTTGGACATTCTCTCCTTCATCAGATGTAGCTGCCATCTTGCACTTCAGTCCTTTATTCCACTGTTGCATTCTGGGTCCTTCCATTGTCTCTTCTCAGTTGTTTGTTCTTTATGACTGTTTCCCTCATGCCATGCAAGAATGGAATGCTAGGTCATCTGGCTGTGGATGGCAGCCAGCTTCCTCAGGACCCACCATCACTCTGCATTCAGCTGTCAGTGGCACTCTATGGTTGGATGCTGGTCCCCATATCCGTCCTCCAGTGCTCATGGTTTTCATTGCAGCCTCTTCATTAAGGACTTCCTGATGCTCTGCTATGGACTTCATTTCTTCCAGGCCAGCCATCAGTATGGCTATCCTGCCTTCTTGATGGGCCTTTGTTTCAGCTCTCATCCCTTCTCTAATAGCTTCCAGTCTTTCGAAATCCACCATGATTATCTGTCTTATGGGTTCACATCTGACAGTGTACAGTTTACTAAGTCCAGCAATTCAATCTAATCGATCAGTCAATCCATTCCCACTTCTGACACCAGTTGTCACGTGTATGAGTGAGTAGACAGGGTTTGGATTGGTAGAAGATAAAAAAGGTAAAGCTATCCCTGTAACAGGCTATGAAGGCCCATGGGGTTGTGAGACATTGAGGCTCCCACATTTTCTAGACACTTGACTCACAGCTGTCACTAGGAAATAGCTCCACCAACAGACACAAATGCAGCAATTCCACAGCAGCAGTTGCACTGCAACAAAGTGGTGCTCGCTACGTGGTCTATGCCAAGATGTTATAAGCAGGATGAGTGAGGGAGTGAGTGAGTGAGTTAGATGACAGCTGGTGTTCAGTTGTTGTGAGCTGTTGCTCTGAGAAGGTGGTAGCTGAGGCTGGAGACAGTGCAGGAACCCAGAGGAAGGGGAACATCCACTGTTGGAAGCTGCTACCAAACAATGGCTGTTGTATAGTTGCTTATTTTGCAGTCATTGTATAGCATATAGTCTGCATGCCACAATATATTTGGTGTTCTCTCTGTATGCTTTCCTTTTCCATCTTCAGTTTGGCCTCCTGTTGTGATTATACAAGCAGAAATTCTATTCAAGACTATCAATACAACTATGCATATAGCAGTGTTGATGGCTGTGAATGTGATTTATACTTTCCTTCTCCAACAATATACCTCTCCCCACTGAATTAACATCATGAGCAGAGAATGGATGTTAATATGTCCCATTCCATTCCAGTCGTTCCTGATTTTCTTGAACCTTCATAACTGCGGATTTCAAGCAGTAATAATGAGGCATCGCCAAGTTTCAGGTGTTTCTGATTATGAAATACAAGGGATCGTGGTTATAGATGGATACTGGAGACCAGACGTGACCAATGACTGAATCCACTTATGGTGAGGACCAAATTTCCATAAGAATTAATGTAATTAAGGTTTAATTGGGACTATGACTCAGGAAATGACATCCATACCAGTGGAAAAAACATATGAAATATTCCGTATACTGTCACATATAAGGGTTGCATGACAAACATAACGATTAGCTCTGGATATGATGAATGGCTTTGTTGGCACTTCTTTTACAATTACAATCAATTATGACAGCTCACAATCAGTGACTGTCTATGACTTGCTCCACTCATTACTGCTCTATGAGTGTCTTCCCTTCTGCATTCCTGACTTGTTTCTGATTTATGAGTTGGCCACTTCTGCTAGCAAGTCGTTGCCTAGCAAATGGACTTCCACTTCTGTTCATTGTTATTCCAGCTTTCAGGTGGTGTTTACTGAGCCATTACCTAGTAATTGGTCATATTTGTCGCAGTATATAAGAAATACAAAGGGCTACTATTTAGATATGTATGACACCAAATGTGACACTCATAGCTATGGAAAAGTATATGTAAACAGACTATTTATACAGGGTGTCCAGGAGGAATGGACCAGACTTCGGGAGGGTGTTCCTTATGTTAAAGTATGCCGATATAACCCAAAACACCTATGTCCAAAGTTGAGCGGTTACGGAGATAATAGCCAGAGAAGTGTCAAACTTTCACCGGTGTTACACACTTGTTGATTACAAAATATATATTAAAACTGGCAGGAATATGTGGATTCTGTAATGTTAATAATGTACGTAACATCAAACTAACTTGTGAGTGACGTGAAGCCATAAAATTGAAGTACGAAATACTCGCTCACCATGTCATAATTGTCCTTAGGATTTCCAAGCACTATACATGACACATGACTGGCGAGCAATGACGTAATATGGCTGCGCTATAAGCCGATCACATAACTGTATTAAACGTACATTCACGGAAAATCTCTTTTGGAATTTCGTTTCCATTATCTCATGTGGATTATTATGGGACCACGTATGAATATTTCGTAAATTATTTACACCGTCCCGGGTAAACGACGCCTCATCACTGAATAAAATGACGCTTAACAGTTCGGGATAAGCTTTTATCCAGTGGCAGAAATCCATACGCTGAGCATGGTCGCCTGGTTCCAGATGTTGTACCCTTTGATCATGGTAAGGATACAGCTCTTCATCACGTAAAGTTCGCCACACCTTCATACGTGATACGCCGATGCGAGAGGCCATTCTACGAGTGGACAGACGCGGACTTCTGTCAACCATCTCAAGAACATTCTCTCGTGTGTTTCTCATTTGTACATCCTCCCTTTCTGACTGCACAGAAACACTCAGAAGAGAACCAGTCTCACGCAATGCCTGGTGAATTCGCGTAAATACATGTCGAGATGGAATCCTTCGATCGGGAAAATGCCTTTGGTACTCTTCAACAGCAGCACGTGCATTGCCACCACAAAATCCATACACAAAATGCATATCACAATATTCAACGTGTGAAAACACAAAAGGCATTTCAGCAACACCGCACAACTACAAGTAATTTACTAACCATTCACGACGCTGACGCAACATACACTGTAGACTCTGTAAGTAGCGCATGAGATTACGGCTAGTGTGACTCACAGCACTCAAGGACAAACAGATAACAGTCACAGCTGACAGGTATAATGCGTGGACCCGCTAGAAGATCACACTTTTCTCGGGCCATTATCTCCATAACCGTTCAACTTTGGACATAGGTGTTTTGGGTTATATCGGCATACTTTATCATAAGGAACACCCTCCCGAAGTGTGGTCCATTCCTCCTGGGACACCCTGTATATGTTTATAATGACAAAGTTTAATGAAACAACATACCTTTCTTTTTCTTTACCTTCAAATGTGAAACATTTGGCATGTGTGAATGGGTGGTGGGTGCATTGCTGGTTTAAGCTTGAGTCACAGAATGAAGGAGAGAAGTACTAAATTGATTATCGACTGCCATCTCATGATCTTCCACCATGGCATGTGCCTGGAG